ACAGCGCTGGAGTGGAAGAAGCCACGCTTAGATCACGACCTTTAAGCTGTGTGAGAATATAAAGAAGACCAAGCGCCTTGACAAAGGAATTAGCATATAATTTAGAATTGAAATGGCTCATTGAAATAGCTAAGTTAAAGTATACACATCCGCAGAGGTGCCCCTTGACAAAGGAATCAGCATCGAATTTAGCATTGAAATAGTTGAGTGATTAGCTAGTAACTGGTCACAGAAATAGCTATGTTAAAGTTAGAGTATATACATTCACCGAGGCACCTAGTACTCATCAAACAGGAGAATTTAGCGAAACACAACCACACTCAGACATCGGACCTGTGTGCGAGCAAAACAAGGTGTTCTGACAAAGAAATTAGCATAAAATTAGCATTTGATTGGCGGATTTTAGGAAAGAGGTGGTGTACGTGCCAGTGGACTTGCAGTTTGGCACGGGGGGGGGGGAGAGGAAGGGGGGAGGGGGATTTTACCTATTGATGGTGTGAAAATGGGAATTTATAAGAGCTGCGAAAGTTTGGGGTACCACTACTCGAAAAATATACTGTACCATTGAAATTAGTTTAATGTTTAGTTCGATTTAGAACATCTTCCAATGGTTGCTTAATTTGAAACCATTCTCTCGGTTGAAATTGTGTCTGTGTTCGTAGATCTGAATTGCTTCATGAACAAATCTCTGATAAAAGCCTCTGGGTTTGCAAAGAACCTTGGTATCGGAGAAAATTATATCGTGATCCCCCACAGCGTTGTAACAGTGATCAGCCACGGCAGAAGAATTCGTTTTGCCGTGTTTCAAATCTGATTTGTGCTCGCGAATTCGGTCAGAGACATGTCGCTTTGTCTCACCGATGTAGCAATCACCGCAGGTACAACTCAATTTGTAAACCCCGGGGTACTGTAAATCAGGAATGACATCCTTCACGGATGGGATCAGATCACGAATTTTGTGTACTGTATTGAACCGGACCTGGATCTTGTGTTTGTTTAGAATACTTTAGACAGGACTCTCCTACAAGCTCATTTAATGTTAACACAAAAAATGTCACCTTCTGATTGGAATCACGTAGACAACATGACTGCTTCTTCTGCTGAGTCAATGTCAGTCAAATGTAAAGCTAACCTGATTTCTAAATTCAACCACCTATCAAAGAAGAACCCAGTTCCACATATAACAAAACTAGATGTTAACAAAATCGTCATTAATCAGAGTAGCACCCCGATTTCGGACAATCTGAAAACAGTACTGGCTAGGGGACTAAATTTTGCTGTCACCCCAAAACACATACCAATAGATGATATCATCTCTCAGGTCGATGTAGCCCTCAAAGGCGTAGGACACATCCAAGCAGACGTTGCGAGAGCTGAAATAGCCACTATTCTTAAGAATGCTAAGAACCCCATTAGTAACATCAGCAAAAATGAACGCTCTGAACTCGCGAATTTAAAAAACATAAGTGATATAGTCATCCTCTCAGCCGATAAAGGCAACGCTACTGTTATTATGGATAAAGATTCATACAACAACAAAATCCAGAATCTGCTCAACGATGGAAGGTACTAAAAAAAATGACCCCACTAATAGCCTAGCGATAAAAACCAACAAGATCATCACAAGTTCGACCTCCCTAATCGACCCAACTAAACGTCCCTCCCTAAAACCTTCTGCTGCAAGACCCCATAGATTCTATGGTCTTCCCAAGATTCATAAAGGCACCCCACTTCGACCCATCGTATCCACGATCAACTCCCCTAACTATAGACTAGCCCGTTTTCTGTCAGATACCTTGCTGCCTTTCACTGGCAAGACCGCCTCAGCAGTATTTAACTCAGCCCAATTGGTCTCTATGGTCAAAGACGTTGTACTGTCCCCTGACGATATCCTTGTCAGCTTCGATGTGGTCTCTTTGTTCACCAAGGTCCCAGTACCTGATACCATTGAAATAATTGAAAATTTGGTCCAACATGGACTAGACCCCGACACACCTGCACTGGTGAGGCACTGCCTCAACAATACCTACTTTACTTGGAATGGCTCCTTCTACAAACAAAATAAGGGTACCCCCATGGGATCCCCCTTATCACCAGTGATAGCCAATATTTTCATGGAGAAATTTGAATCAGACGCCATCCAGACTTCCACCCTCAGACCTTCCCTGTGGAAGAGATATGTGGATGACACTTTCGTCATTTGGCCACATGGCCTCCCAGCTCTGAACGTTTTCCTACACATCAATTCCAGACATCCCGCCATCAAATTCACCATGGAAGTGGAGAAAGATGGCAAGCTACCATTCTTAGATGTTCTGTTTGAGAGGAGACCTGATGGCTCATTGGGGCATTCTGTCTACAGGAAACCCACCCACACAGATTCCTACTTGAAACCTGATTCCCACCACCACCCAGCCCAAAAAGAATTCTCTCATCAAAACTTTATACCATAGGGCTCATTGCATTTCGGACCAACACCACCTGACCAGTGAATTAAAACATGTACACCTGGCCATCAAAAGGAATGGTTACTCTGACCGTACCATCCGCCAAGCTGTCTCTCCCTCCATACAGATACAACCACTTGATACTCCGGTCAAAACCATCACACTTCCATATATAGCAGGCGTTACTAAAAAGATTTCCACAATTCTAAACACAAGATCCAGGTCCGGTTCAATACAGTACACAAAATTCGTGATCTGATCCCATCTGTGAAGGATGTCATTCCTGATTTACAGTACCCCGGGGTTTACAAATTGAGTTGTACCTGCGGTGATTGCTACATCGGTGAGACAAAGCGACATGTCTCTGACCGAATTCGCGAGCACAAATCAGATTTGAAACATGGCAAAACGAATTCTTCTGCCGTGGCTGATCTCTGTTACAACGCTGTGGGGGATCACGATATAATTTTCTCCGATACCAAGGTTCTTTGCAAACCCAGGGGCTTTTATCAGAGATTTGTTCATAAAGCAATTCAGATCTACAAACACAGACACAATTTCAACCGAGAGGATGGTTTCAAATTAAGCAACCATTGGAAAGATGTTCTAAATCGAACTAAACATTAAACTAATTTCAATGGTACAGTATATTTTTCGAGTAGTGGTACCCCAAACTTTCGCAGCTCTTATAAATTCCCATTTTCACACCATCAATAGGTAAAATCCCCCTCCCCCCTTCCCCCCCCCCGTGCCAAACTGCAAGTCCACCGGCACGTACACCACCTCTTTCCTAAAATCCGCCAATCAAATGCTTATTTTTATGCTAATTTCTTCGTCAGAACACCTTGTTTGCTCGCACACAGGTCCGATGTCTGAGCGTGGTTGTGTTTCGCTAAATTCTCCTGTTTGATGAGTACTAGGTGCCTCGGTGAATGTATATACTCTAACTTTAACATAGCTATTTCTGTGACCAGTTACTAGCTAATCACTCAGCTATTTCAATGCTAAATTCGATGCTAATTCCTTTGTCAAGGGGCACCTCTGCGGATGTGTATACTTTAACTTAACTATTTCAATGAGCCATTTCAATGCTAAATTATATGCTAATTCCTTTGTCAAGGTGCTTGGTCTTCTTTATCTTCTCACACAGCTTAAAGGTCGTGATCTAAGCGTGGCTTCTTCCACTCCAGCGCTGTCCTCCAGACAGGCTCGTCCCTTCACCTGATGAAGGCCGCTTGTGTTGTGGCCGAAACGTCGTGATTTTTTGTTATTTTATTTTCACCTACGTGACTTTACCCAATAGAACCAAAGAGTATGTTTACATGTTGATTATAAAATATATATTGTAAACAATGTATCCAGGACAAAAAGCGCTGTTACGAATTGGCGTTCTACCGGGGTCGCACCAAGCGAGGTCTTCTTGTAACAGGTGTCTCAACAAGCGAGATAAGTTCCGCGAAAATTGCTTGCCAAGCGAAAATTCGTGAAACGATCGTTGCTTTCCCATTGACTCACTCCCATGGTAAAAGCCGAATTATAAACTAGATTCGAAGATTTCGTGACAGCAGGAATTACTCTCTGGTTCTTTCGGTAAAGTTATGTAAAAAATAAAATAATACGACGTTTTGGTTGCAACACAAGACACACCAAAGACACACAGAGCGAGACACACACCAAGTGTGTGTCTCGCGCTGTGTGTCTCTCTCTGCATGTGTGTCCCTCTCTCCATGTGTCTGTCTATGCTGTTCCTGTGTCTGTGTTTAATCATTCATTCTTACCTGATGATGGTTGCTTGTGTTGCAACCGAAACGTCGTATTCTATTATTAGCCGAGTTATGTTTCAGCCCCAAAATGATCCACTTGAACACCTTTTTTTACATGAGAAATACAAATTATCATTTAAAAATAAAGTAATAAAAAACACATCAAATGTAACACTTACCCTACACAAACCACAGTTTCGAGCGGGTGTCTGTCCTCAGCATCTGAAATTAGCGCCATCATCGCCCCCTCACCCACCCATTACAGTGCCACCACGAGGCAGTACAACTGGTATGTGCGTATGTATGATTAACTTCTTTCGCACCGTACATAGTCAAACATGCGAATCGGAGGTGCTGGGGAAGGACAACAAACTAAACACAAAAATCAGTTCTAAACAAAAAAATGGATATAAAAGTGCATATAGCTCCAGTGGCTTCCGAATATAAGAAGAGCATTCCAGACAGCCGCAGAAGCGCATCTGAAAGTGCCGCGCGAAACGAAACAAAGTGCTGCGGCCAGCGGTCCACCCCCTGCTGCCACGGATTGCATTAGTACAATTGGTCTCTGCTCGTTATGCGAACATTTGCTCGTTTTATGAAAAAAATTGGTCTCAATTCAAATAGATCGTAGCGAATTCTCGTAGAAAGAATGCTCGTTAAAGCGAGACACACCTGTGTTATTAATAAAAGCACACATATATACCACGTACACCTCCGTATGATGGCCAGAATGGACCGAGACCTTCAATTCATTTATAATACCATATGTTCAAACAAGAAACGTGCAACATTTGGCACACTGGTCAAATGCCTTTTTATTATTTTCGATGGGATTTGGATGCAGCTGTGAAATGTTCTTGGTACACATGATCTGGTTATGACACTGGCCCCAACAGGGTTGCGCCAGTGTTAACACATTCTACTGACTTACTTTCAAAAGTTGTTACGTTTGATTATCTTTTATCAAATGCAGCATTAAATATTTTCCAAAATGGTAAATTTTACCACTCGCTGGAGCTGGAACTCAAATTACACACAATTAGTGGACATTTTGTGACCCCCCCCTGAAATAAAGGCCACACTTAAATGAGTTGTAAAAGTTGACCCATGTGGTATTATTGAACACAAATAGCTTTGCTGACGTGCCATTCACCAGTTACTTTTGCCCTTCTTCTTTTTGGCCTTTTTCTTGCTTGCAGTAGCCGCGGCAGCGGCTGCCGTGGGTTTTTGTTGCCTTGGAGGCACGGGTTCACTTGCCGAAGAGGCAGCTCCAGGTTGCGGGGAGGCGGGGGGACTTGCCAGCCTCTTGCTTGCATCCCTTTGAATAAAAGTGCCAAGTCAAAGGTGAATAAAACATAAAAATTGGTTCTACCCTTTCTGGCAATAAAAAAGGATGTGTTAAGATGTTCAAATACCAAACAGATACCTTTTGCAGGGAATCAAGTTTGCATTAACCACACACATTTGTGGTAAACATGCAAACACTCTGATAATATATGCATTGTCTTTGATACTGATTAACCTACACAAGAGACAGCCTTCTTTCAGTATCAAAGACAATGCATACATTATCAGAGTTTGTTTACATGTTCACCACAAATACTGTGTGTAGTTAATGCAGACGATTCCTTGCAAAAGGTATCTATGTGGTTTTTGAACATCTTAACACATCCATAATAGAGGTATTTGGGTTAGATCGCGTAAATATATAAATGTGTCGTCAAAACCCGCCACCACCCAACACAGCCAACTAGTAAGGGATGTCACGTAAACAGAACATGGCCAATTCGTCACTAGTACAGCACGCCGGTGTGTTGGAGAGCCAAGCCACAACATTTACAAACAGAGTACGACGTTTCGCCAGTAATTACAACTAGCTTCATCAGGCGACAGCCAGATTTGTGGAGAAGTCTTACTGTTTCGTTCCTTATATAGAGGCGTAGATGTGTTGACCACCCTTCTGCGCTCTTGCACAATGTGAGGGGGGGGATTACTGAGGCAACGTACATTATGCATGTGCATTATGCGAGCCCTTTGAACTTATATTTACGAGATGTTTTTGATGAACGAAGAGGTCCTACCATGTAGGGCTGTATTTGTTTCAGATGTTTGGAAAAACAAAACATCCGAGACAGATTTGGCAAGGTACATAAAATACAGAATTTAATATCTGGTACAAAAGATGTATTATCGAAGCTATCGACAGAAGGTGTGTACAGGATTAACTGCACGTGTGGTAAATGTTATGTTGGGCAAACAGGATGAATGATCAGCATGAGACTAAAAGAACATCAGATAAATATTAAATTCTCCCAAATGCAACTGTCAGCAGTAGCAGAACACGCGTGCCAAAAAGGACACTATTGATTTTGATAATGTTGAAGTTTTGTGCAAAACTAGCTACTACTGGCCAAGACTAATTAGATAATCTATCGAAATTAAAATAAATCTAAATAACTTTAACCATTCGAATAACTACCGTCTTAGTGCTGCGTGGAAGCGAATCATAAAATAATAAATTATTTAAATGCATGCCTACAAAGGGCAGCGTACTTCAATAGGGATTACCGTTGGTAGGGCTATTTCAATAAACACAATAGACAGGAAGGACAAGTTCAAAGGGCTCGCATAATGCACATGCATAATGTACGTTGCCTCAGTAATCCCCCCCCCCCCACATTGTGCAAGAGCGCAGATGGGTGGTCAACACATCTACGCCTCTATATAAGGAACGAAACAGTAAGGCTTCTCCAAAAATCTGGCTGTCGCCTGATGAAGCGAGTTGTAACTACTGGCAAAACGTCGTACTCAGTTTGTAAATGTTGTGACTCTCCAACACACCGGTGTGATGTACTCGTGACGAATTGGCACGTTCTGTTTACGTGACAACACTTACTAGTTGGCTGTGTCGGGTGGTGGCGGGTTTTAACGGCACATTCATATATTTACGCGATCTAACCCAAAAACCTCTATTATGGATATTGGTCGTGAAAGCCTATGTGTTAATCTTAACACATCCTGTTTTATTGCCAGAAAGGGTAAAACCCATTATAATTTTTCATACTTTGATACTTGACGAGGGTGGTGTTGCTCGTCTGCTTTTCTTTATAGTCCCGAGCCACTGGCAGAAATTCAACACGGATATTGGCAGAGGCAAGTCTAATTCCATGTCAGTCTAATTGCATGTTAGCCCAACCTATTATTGACTTCCCAAACTGGATATTTGAACTCACAATAATCCCATTGTGAAAAACAAGGCCATCTCAACAGAACTTAACAAATTCCTATTATCACGGCAACATATCAATGATCTAAACAAACTACCTGTGCGGAAGCTGTACAGACACGTGCAACATTATTTTGTGTTAATTAGACAACCGGCCAGGTGGCTTGGTCAAGAGTTAGCGGCTCACAAACCAAAACCATTTCTTTATTATACAGTTACTCCGTGCTGTTTCAATGCCTTCAGTCTCAATGCTATAACACATCCTCATATTCCACGTTGGGCATCTCATAATCCACGCTTTCTAGCGGCAATGTTTTACCCAAGTCCACTATTCTCCAACGGCCTTCTACCTCCGATGATAGTTTACGTCTAATCGCGATACCCGCAACTCCCAACTTTTTTATTTAGCATTACTCCAGTTAATGGTTCTTTGCGTGGTCAGCTTTTCTACCATGAAGTAAACACCTCAAAAAAAGTTACGAGGACTACTACAAAGTTTCAGGATGTTTTAGTCACGTCGAGCTCCTAACAAAACAAAAATTACATTTAAATGTTACACCATGTGTACTTATTAATATTCAATGGCATAAAATTTACTGCGCTTTTGTGCAGGTACGCATTTCTAGTGAACGACTGTGCGCGCCTCCTTTGTGTGAAAGATAAAACGAGAGAGGTGCTCACAACTCGGCCATGGCTCCGGCGGTGGCGCCCTGTGTGCCGCGGCCCACCGCTCCATCCTTCTTCTTGCTCTTTTTGCGGCCCCGGTAGTAGGAGCGCTCCCGCATGGGCAGCCAGCGCTCAGGGTCCGGCCCACCTTCTGTCAACTCCTCGCAGTTTTTAGGAAGCTTTCCTAAATGAAATAAATGTGGTCGCTCTTTAAAGAAACAAAACATTATTTTTGTTATTACAGCAGCTCATCGATTGTAATCGATATGTTGGGTTTTTTCTAACTTTATGTTTACGAATAGACACAAATTCGCCCGTTTTCTCATTGAAAATAGGAAAACTTCTAAATATCACTGTCCTGGTCACAAAAGCAAAGTTTGTGGGGACTAATAGCCATTTTCTATACTTTTTAGGCATAAGCAATTGTGAAATAACACTTACTACCCAGGAACAAAAATTGTGTTACAGTGTTATTAGGCGGCTTCGGGGGAGAAGGTGGTGCCGGATTTTGAAAAACGCCGGAAAATTACTAATCATTATTTAAAATAGCTTATTTTTAACATTCTTGGATAAAATTATGTTTTTAGGTGTTGCATATGTTGTTTTTTCGTTTTAAATTTGTTTACTATGTGACATTGGTATAAACATACTTACAAAAATAAACGTCCGACTGTAAAAAGTTACTGTATTTACTGTACCACTCCAATCTGGAAGACTCTGCATGTAATGATGTACGTAGCACTACTACGCTCTTGATTCAACGGAGCGGTTTTGCCACTTTGGCCGGATCAACCCGGCCAACGGATAATGGTGGAAGCAGCCGGATAATCATGCGGTGATGGATAATCAAGAATCTTACATGTTTTTATATTATACTTGTTTACTCAGGAAATTTTCACAAAGCCTCAAGACTTTGTTTTTTGCAGGAGCAATTGATATTGCTGTGTAATCTCAATAGCTTCATTTGCAACATTTTTTTATTGTCTAGAATCTAATGTGCCTAAATAGTCTAGAATCTTAGGTCTCAAACTTGTCTAGAATCTTGTTTGCCTCTATCGTGTCTAGAATATTATCTGCCTGTATCTTGACTAGAATCTTACCTGCTTCTATTTCGTCAAGAATCTTATCTGCCTCGATGGGCTTGGCTAGTATTGCCCATTGTGCATTTCAATGTCCACACACCCCACATGCCACTTTTTCTGATGAAACAACTTCACATTGATCTGTTACCTTTCTTCTTTTTCTTTTTCTTCAAATCTCCTTGTCTATTAAAACAGATAATTAAAAAAACAAGGTTAAATCACGTGAACTTTTTGAAGAGGTTCACCTGCATAACATTGTCATTTTTTTTGCCAAGGTCTGATTGCATTCAGGAATTGGTTTATACTGCATTCATTAAAGGTGACTTTGGTCACTTCCAACCAATTCCCATCTTCTATCAATTAGGCACGTATTATTATTTACCTTGCTTCCCTAGGAAAGCCTCACCCTGCTGCCCACACAATTTTCTGTGTCAAATCCTGATGATTTATGAATACTTTGTCAAGTTCTATTACAAAACATCCAAGTTTATAACCCTCTATCCTGCTGTGCGATTTCTAGATTTGAAGCTTTCTTGACTGCAAGGATTCATACTCATTGGTTTTTTCGGTAAAGTCACGTAGGCAAAATAAAATTTAGTTGTTTTCTTTTATTTTTTATTTTATTTTACCCACGTGACTTTACCGAAAAAAACAAAGAGTATTCTATCATCCTTCTGCAAGCACCGATATTCAGACGCCATATGTTTACTTTCGAGTTACTTTGATAAAGACCAGGTTTCTGCCACACATAATTAGACACTAACTTCAAACTCACCCATCTCGTACCACTTCAGTTAACCTCTGCAATATCAACGTGGTTCACGTCGTCCATAAAAACCCACACTAGCATCTTAGAACGGTCAGTCCTCAGGGATAGGGGTTAGGAGGAATTGTGAAATTTGGCAATCAAATTCCTCTACCCCTCCGGTAGGGTTAGAGGACTCATGGTCGTAGTTTAATGGATGCTCCCCCCACAACTCCCCCTCCCCCCAATTACCCCCCATCTTCCCGTGTTTGGTTCGTTACTTTACTCGTGTTCACCTTTGTGTCACACCCCACATTCTCCTACCGACACGTCCCTCCCCTACTTGCCCCACCAGACATACCCTCAATCAATACGCACTCACCATCACCACCCCATGAGTCACCCAACCTCCACAACACACAGCACACCCTCTCTTCCCCACAACACTCGAAGTATCACCCTTCCACTATTTTTCTTCACCTTATAACGTTCACCCTGTGTGGGTTCCGAACGCACTTGCTGGCGTTATTCCATAATACTTTACCTCTCGCAGTCCCCCACCAAACCCCGTCTGACCGTACGCTGTAACTTCCCCAATTTTTATCAATAAAATACGGTAGTGGGTCCCTCGGTATACGATGCCATCGATTAACGATATTTGATTAACAATCTGCCTTCTATAAAATCCCATTGTTTCTATTAATGATACATTTCCATTAACGATATGTTCACGATATTACACGATGGACAATTTCGGCCAATTAACGCATTCCAAAGTGAACTCAGCAGACCTCAGTCAATCAGTGATGCCCTTTTATGAGCGTTTTGAGAGCAACTGGATAGCTTTCCAATGTTTGAGGTGTGTTGCTTATGGAAACAGCTCTCTTGAATACTTAGTGTTTTTTCACTTTAAATAGGATCAATAACAATGGAGCCTAAAATGAATGTGAAGACAAAGTGAGGAAAACTTTTTCTTCCACCCCAACTTCTCCATCAACCCCTTAAGCCATCCATCTTCTTAGCCTAAGGTAAGATTTTTTTATTTTATGCTCTATTTATGCACCTTTTTATGCTCTTTAGTCATTATTTATCCATGTTTCTATTAATGTTAAGGCGTTAATATGTTCTTATAACGTTTAATTATGAAAATTGCGTTATTAAATATTATACACTACGTTTTTAGGGTGAAAAAGGTCAACTTCCAATCGTCTTCAAACAAATTAAGCCTTTAACGTATTTCCTATATTGATTTAACAAGAATTTCAATTAACGATAATTTTCGTGTAACCAATTAATATTATTAACTGAGGGACTGAAATATTCCCCCGTTATCTGCGAGCGATACGTTCTGGAGATGCTCGTGAATATCTAATATTGCGATATTGGCCTTAAAAAAGCTATATATTTTTTATGAATCACCTTAAATACATAAGTTATTAAATATATAATGAGTCCACCACACAAATAATGCGATGACACTCTTCTTTATTTTCCACACGAGCTAAAGCTGAGGGTGGGTGAGATTTCTCATTCGCGTTAAAAATGCAAAAAAAATACACGCAACGCTGAGGTAAATTCATCAAAGTGTGATGTCCTCTTCTCTCCCCTCCCACCCCAATGTGTGCACTTACTGCTATAGGATCGGTAGATACTAATATTATAGCGCTTAAATAGTATTATTGTAGTGCGGGCGGGGGGATGGTGGGCGGGGGTAGTGGCCCAGCCCCCAGCCTCAGCCGGCTGGGCAATCTAGGCGAGGCCGGGGGCTCTGCACGGGACTAGGCTTCACCATGGCACTCTGTCAGGTGAGTACTTTGTGCTATAGAGTGGATATATACTGCTATAGAGTCAGCATGTACTACTGTAGTGATAGCAGGTGCCACCAGAGTCAGTATGCACTGCTGTAGTGAAAGCAGGTTACACTAAAGTTGGTATGCACTGCTGTAGTCATAGCAGGTTCCACCACAGTCGGTATGCCCTGCTGTGGTGAAAGCAGGTTCCCCCACAGTTGGTATGCACTGCTGCAGTGAAAGCAGGAACCACCACAGTCTATATGCACTACTGTAGTGAAAGCAGGTACCACCAAAGTCGCTATGCACTGCTGTAGAGAAAGCAGGTACCACCACAGTCGGTATGCACTGCAGAAGTGAAAGCAGGTACCACCAGTCGGTATGCACTGCTGGAGTGAGACCAAGTACCACCACAGTCGGTATGCAATATAGTGAAAGCAGGTACCACCACAGTCGGTATGTACTGCTGTAGTGAAAGCAGGTTTCACCAGAGTCGGTATGCACTGCTGTAGTGAAAGCAGGCATCACCACAATATGCACTACTGTAATCATAGCAGGTACCACCACAATCAGTATGCACTGCTGTTATCATAACAGGTACCACCACTGTCAGTATCCACTGCTGTAATCATTGCAGGTACCACCAAAGTCGCTATGCACTGCTGTGGTGATAGCAGGTACCACCACAGTCGGTATGCGCTGCTGTAGTGATAGCAGGTACCACCACAGTCGATATGCACTGCTGTAGTGATAGCAGGTCACACCACAGTCAGTATGCACTGCTGTAGTGATAGCAGGATCCACCCCAGTCAGTATGCACTGCTGTAATCATAGCAGGTACCACCATAAGCAGTACACACTGCTGTAGTGATAGCAGGAACCACCATAGTTGGTATGCAATGCTGTAGTTAAATCAGGTACCACCAAAGTTGGTATGCACTGCTGTAGTCATAGCAGGTACCAACACAGTCGGTATGCACTGCTGTAGTGATAGCAGGATCCACCACAGTCGGTATGCAATGCTGTTGTGAAAGCAGGTACCACCACAGTGGGTATGCACTGCTGTCGTGAAAGCAGGTCCAACCAAAGTCGGTATGCACTGCTGTAGTAATAGCAGGTGCCACCACAGTCAGTGTGCACTGCTGTAGTGATAGCAAGAACCATCACAGTCGGTATGCACTGCTGTAGTGAAAGCAGGTTACACCAAAGGCAGTGTGCACTGCTGTAGTCATTGCAGGATACCACCACAGTGACTATGCACTGCTGTAGTTAAAGCCGGTACCAAAGTCGGTATGCGCTGCTGTCGTCATAGCAGTTACCACTACAATCAGTATGCACTGTTGTAGTCATAGCACGATACCACCAGAGTCAATATGCACTGCTGTAGTGAAAGCAGTTACCACCAGTCAGTATGCACTGCTGTAGTTAAAGCAGGTACCACCAGAGTCGGTATGCACTGCTGTAGTGATAGTAGATACTGCTACCGAATTGGTAGATACTGCTATATAAAGTTAGTAGATACTAAAACAGTCAGTATATACGACTGCAGTCAGTCAATACTGCTACAGTCAATAGATACTACTATACAATCAGTAGATACTACTACGGTCAGTAGGTACTAGACTCAGTAGATACTACTATAGAGTAGACACTGCTATAGAGTTAGTAGTTACTACTATAGTCAGTGGATACTACTATCAAGTCAGCAGATACTACTATACAGTTAGTCGTTACTACAATCAAGTCGATAGATACTACTGTAGGGCCAGTCAATACTACTACGGTCAGTCGTTACTGCTACAATCAGTAAATACTACTAAATAGTAGCAACTAATGGCTCAGCAGATACTACTGTACAGTGAGTAGATACTACAGAGTCAATAGATACTACTTACTCTGTTGTATGTAGGGTGTGTAGGTATATATACCTACGTGGGGGTAAATATATTTTTTGAAGGGGGGGGTCGACAATTTTCGTGAACTTTTAAGGTCAACTATTTACCCCCCACTTTCTATAACTTTTTCGACTTGTGCAAGCCTCTTATAATTTTGTTGCTGGAGAAATGGACAAACGGCCCACCGGGTTTTCACAATACCTAAGTATCTGTGTATATATGTAAGGCTTTTAAGAGAATATTTGAAATATATTTTTCGCCCTGGCAACACCGGGTACTTGCCGCTAGTAATTTATAAATGAACTTAGATTTCTCTCATCACTTTATCTCATCCCTTTCTCACAAAACATTCTCTCATCACCTTATATCATCGCTTTCTTCTCTCTCGATGCAATTGTGCAGAGTTCCAGATGCGATTCGTGGAAAGCCGAAATCGCGGGGCAAGTTTGTGAATAACACGGGAACTGTACTTCTCATAAATACTGTACTTCTGATAAAAAAAGTACTCGAACTCTCTTACTACTACCTACATAAGCTATTATCCAATTTTTTATTGACTCCCAAAGCGCACATCTGCAGATGCTAATTGGCATACTCGTCCCCACTGGCCAGGTGTTTTTTGTGAAGAGGTGGGAGATACCCACACTTTACCTCACCATACGCAAACCTGCCAATTGACCTATTGTGCACTCGCCTTTACCCCATGGCAGCACCAAATGACAGTATTCCTTCGCCAACTGCGAATTTACCAACCGCGAGATCTGAATATATGATTTACTTCCGTATGCCTGTTTACCAACCGCGGCCTGGAAATTTGAGTATCCACGGGGTAAGCACGGTGTTAAGGAAGTCACATGACGCATATATTTCGTCATTGCATCACAGCATGACATCACTGTATTGCGTGACGTCGGTAAAGACGTACTGTACCTATAGTTTTATTTAATTTTCTTCTGATTCCGGGAAAGAGTTAATTTTGCCCTTAATCATGGACTCGAAGCATGGCAGCAAGTGGTGAAGGTGAGAGTGAGTTGCATCTGTGGCCCAGAGGAAGAGGGGGAGGGTGGGCTGAGCCCCCTTCCTTCTAACCAGTCCTTCCACGATCATCTCATTGTCATCGTCATCGTTAATATTAAAGGTTATGTAACGTTAATGTAATGTTTATTTGTGTTTCATTGTTATTGTCAATGTGTAGAGGTGTTAACTACGCACTGTTCGGTAACCTGCATTGCCACCAGGTATCAAGGGGGCAGTGCAGCGTTACCTCGGTGTACATAACGGTTGGGGTCAGACGAGGTGAAGTGGATCGTAGCCACAGTTGGGGAAAAACAATCAGACAGTTCCACGTGGGAATGTGGGATTGGTTATACCTGGCCACAAATGAGTATAAGGGTGACCGCGCAGAGCTCGGGGAGTTCTCTCCCTACACGAAGACCGAAGCCCGGGCTGAAGACTAGCTAGGACCCTGGACCAGCCTTCCAGCCCTTATGAGGGCTAAGGCTCGGCGTATCCAGTGGTCAAGACCCACCGGGCCAGCGGTGGGTCAGATAGCCTCCCCTAGGTCCCAGCCGTAGGACTGTGGGATAGGGTAACGGTAGACGTGCAAGTCCCGCCAAGCTAGGAGGCTGTACCTCCATAGGTATCAAGAAGAAATGTGTGTAGGTTACGCTGAGTCCGGAAGCTGTACCTCCTTAGCGTATCGGGTGAGGGGACCGGATACCCCTCTGTGTTAAGGACTGTATAAGAAAGGAATTACAATAAACAGAGTGTGCCTCCTAAAGAAGTTTATTCGTCTTTATAAACACTACAAATGCACTGCATTTTATTAAGTGGTTAGTTAATAAACAGGCAACTTAGTTAAGCTATGACGTATCTGACCAGGGCCGGAGTTAACCTAAAATCCCCTATTATTTTCCTATAGGCCCCCTATACTTCAGCAACCACGTATTTGCCTACCGCAACATTTTTCAGGAAGCTAACCCCACGGGTTGGCAAGGGTTTACTCTAAGTAGAAAGCCCACCCCTATTCGCTGCCATCAAATTTTGGGCACCGCGGTGGCAAGATGTTATCTCCCTCGCCTAGTATGCAGGAGGGCGTGGGTTCGATCCAGACTCTGACGCCTGTATATTTGGAGTCTGCATGTTCTCCCCGTGGTCGCGTGCATTTTTCTCCGGGTCCTCGGGTTTTTCCCTTCACATTTAGAATCATGCGTTTAGAGTATTTGGCTACTATACATTTTAACATAATAAGCTGCTTCATTGAGCTATCATTTGGGGCCAGGTCGCTTCTGAAAAAGACTATCATAGCTCAGTGACCCTGACCTGGTAAAATATAGTTTTAACATATCAGGAAAGCCTACCTTAAAACTGGCAAAAGCTGCAATACACCATCCACATACTCCAAGTCATTCACATGATATGCTGAACAGCAGGATGGCACAGTGGTAACAATTGTACTTCATAGCAACAAGGGCCTGGGTTCGATTTGCAACTCAGGCACCTATCCGTGTAGAGTTTGTATGTTTTCTCCCTCTATTCTACGTCGATTTTCTCTGGGTTCTCTGGTTTCCCTACCATAGCTAAAAACGTACAATGTAACAGCTTTTGGAAAAACATCAGAAAAAGGTTAAATGTTACATAATTGTCGCCCCCTGCTGCAAAAACCTGGCAGGACTCTCTTGGGACTGAGGCATCTCCAGGTAAAAAAGCGTCATACTGATATCGCAATGGCATGGAAGGTGTTGTGTACCACTGGACCCAAGGGCCCACCACTCACCTCTGCTCCTTGACATGCTGCTTCTGAGTTTCTGCTGCTGCTGTTATTGCTTGCCGGACTGCCTTGCGGCGCACAAATGCCAAGCCGTGCGGACTCTCCAAGGCATCCACATCTACGTGCAGCGCGGTGGCATCCACCGCTGGCAGGTGTTGGCTCAGCCTGAGGAGCGCGGTTAAGGGCAATGGGCTCCACGTTCATCCTCTCAGCATTCCTCATCATGTAAAATGACCACGATGCATCTGTATCGTCCTCACCCTGCAGTCTTTGAGAAAGTTGGTTAACTTGTTCTAGACCAAGATGTCATCGTGGCTCAAGCCGTTGATGCCACCACACCTCGCCAATACCGTCTACCCTCCGCCAGAACCCGCAGCTGCTGCAGTCGACACGCAGCTACCTCCAAGATATGCCCCGTCAGCATCCCACCGCCTAGAACGATTTAACTTTGTGCTGCCACCCCATATATACATGTGAAGGCAGTGGTAAGGGTGGACAAATCTGCAATTCAACAACTCTTAAGACAATTAATTGATTGGCTAAATCACTTACAGCTGAATCTGGAAAATGTAATTAGATCTTGATAGGATACTCCTTGGCTTTGCGAGCATCAACTTGAGAATAGGCAGAGATGAGCTGAGCAAGGTTCTTCACATCCAGGGGGTCCTGCCTGAAATGTCATGACATGAGCAGAGTTAAAAAGGCGTGCATGCAATGACCACAGGCCACTTTTGATGGTGCGTTTATTGATTTGAGAGTCTTGGGTGAATGACGTGGTTGGTCATAATGTTTATTGATGGCAAATTTAATGATAACGATGAAAGATGACATGAGCGATGCCATATTGCATGATGAGGAGTGAAATGTTAAGCAATACTCTGTCAAGGTACATTGCGATGAGAAGTGTGACCAGTGAACACAAAGCTACCACAGTAAACCTGAACTGTGCCATGATATGGCTCAGTGGTAGCACGTTCAATGCTTGTTACAGAGGCTCATGGATCCAATCCAGCAGGGCACCCTGGGTAATACTGCGGGTGTATGAACCCTAAAATACAAGCCGTCTGCTTCACAGTAGATGTTAAAGATCGCGTGATGTCATCCGATAACGACTGGGCTATTGCATGCTGTCGTCATAGTCCAAATATGTCCAATCTGCAAATTACTTAATTCTGAAACAAATAACAATCATCACCCCCTCTTGGATCCTCCTACAAAAGTCTTGAGACTCGGGGAAAGCTTTCCTAGGTAAACAAAATTTCAAGATATGAATATACGGAACTATCGCATGCTCTTAGGTTCCCTTCACTATCCAGCTACACTATCCGATGAGCTATAAGCTTTATATAAAGAAGCTTTATAACTTATCAGATTCCTCCAGTATAAATAAATATTCTGATTCTATATATTCTGTGATATATTTTATGTATATGCTTGTTTACCCAAGAAAGCCTCGCTGAGTCTCAACACTTTTTTATGAGGGTTCAGACGTTTTTTTTACCTGCAGGTAATTTTCAGCATTGGAATATTTTGTCCAATACCAATGATTCCATGTGGTTTATTTTGCCTTTATTTTAGTGTCACCACTGCGCCACCTTGCTGACCTATCTGCTCAATATTGCATGCTATCTGCTCACTGCCAAACCAATATTAACAGTTTGCCTTTAGAGGCTAACCCCCTTTGCCTGATGACGACCGCTTGTGTTGCGATCGAAACGTCGTAGTTTTTGTTACTTTCTTTGAACCTATCTACGTGAATTTACCGAAAGAGCCAAAGAATATGAATTCCTGCAGCCATGAAAGCTTTACGTCAAGAATTAACAATGCCCTTTACACCGCAGGATCTACCCCCACCTCCACAGCTGTTCCAAGTCATTCACAGCATCCTTCTGGCGCCCGTGTCTTAGCTTGAACTGGGCGGCTTCTCTCATGAGTCGCAGATGCACAGTGGAGTGAGGCTGCAAAACATTGCACACATTGAACACAACCACTTTTAACTGTGCAAAACAAGTACAGTAGATCATAGATTATCCGGCGTCTTCGGGGCAAAGGGGGCACCCGATTTTCAAAAAATTCGGATAATTATCAATGATCATTATTATCTAAAATAGCTTTCTTTTGCATTTTCTTGTAAAGCATTATGTGTTTAGGTATTGTGTATACGTTTTTTATCGCAAGCTTATTCAAGGCAGCACATATTGATTAACTGTGATTAACCAATCATCCATTGCAATTTGATAAGCTCACAGTGATGAAATGTAATTAACCCATCTGCTAATATTTACTGCATATTTTTAGATTTAAAAGGATCCAATAATTGATATAACAATAAACCCCCTCTGAGCCTATCAGGTGCAAAGATCACAGTGATGACATCATCTTGCGATATTTAAGACCAGAAGCAAGAAGAGTTCTTAACAATTTTGGCAAAACGCCTGATGAAGCTGGTTGTTGAAATCACCAGCGAAACGTCACAGTACTCAATTGTAAATGCTGTGCATTTACTCGCCATCGCACAGATGTGCTGAAGTACAGCTAATTGGCACGTTTTGTTCACATGCCAAACCTTAATAATTGGCTGTGTCGTGTGGTGGTGGGTTAATGACACATTTAAATTTACGTGATCTAACCAAAAAAACCTTTATTATGAATAATATTGCTTGCGAAAGCCTACTACATGTTAAACTGAGCTGTAACGATAACAATTGGTGCATTAAGCCACTGTATGGGAGAATCAATTTGTTTGGCTGCTTCAGGTGGTGGAAGCTCTTGAGATTTCGTCAGATGATCACATGTCAAATGTGTGACGTCAGCAGACACACTGCGTGACCGCTGCCACATGCGGGTGACATCACAGATGTGACGTCACCGCTCACTTGCCGTGCAAAGTATATCCATGATTTCCCCCCCCCCCCCCAAAAAAAATACAATAGTCTATTTTTATACTTTTCGCATTGGGTACAGTCTGGAAGCTACCCACATGCCAAATTTCAAGTTTGTTGCATGTTGGGAAGTATGATAAACATTTCAAACAGACACACATATTTACAAATTTCCCTTTTATATATAGATTATATTAAACAAACAAGATGAACCCTAGATGGTGAGAAATCTAAAAAAAATTCCAACCATCTTAGAAATTCAGCCTCTCTCAATGTCACTCAATCTAGATGTCTACAAAGCACGAGATCAGCTGGCCAAGCAGCACGTGTCTGTCCTTTCTATCCGAATGCAGGGATGTTAATCAAGGCACAGAATGTGCTTTTGGGTTCTGCTCAGATGTAAAATTCTCCCAAATTCCTGTTGTATTTTAATTATATTACCAATAGACATAGATTTTAAACCTAACAGTTCATCAATGTTATATTGCTGTCAGAGAAAGATCTGAAACTACTGATCAAAAAACAGATTCAGTAACTTACCCCCTACACTCAACTAATAGCCAAACACTAAACATTTCAGCAACTTGAAGTCTATCTGGATTGTCCATGGCTGATGGTGATGATAAATATTTTTTTCCCAGATAGTAGGCCGAAATAAAGTTCAACATACATATGTATAATAGCAAACTAAAATGTAGCTTTATTTTCACAATATATAAAATATCAAGAGCGCCTACATGTGTCACCAAAGCTGAATAATTTACCTCATGCTTCTTGTACCAATCGATGGCCCCGTTTAAAATGTCGATGGCCTCATCGATATTCTCCTCATGTGTATGCAACGTCACGAGAGCCGAGACCTGGCAAACGACCAAAACAAACGAACAACACGCGAGTATAATTTCTTAGGATCACACTCGATTACCATAAAAAGCCTCACTCTGGACTCTCATGACTCTTTCAGGAGGCTCTTGCCAAGTTTTTCACAGTAGGGGGGATATTATGCCATGTGTAATCCCAAATTGAGTAATTTGCAAATAATATTTCCGCGTTGGTATATTTTGGCCAACACCAGTTACCCTATGGGACCTTTTTTCAGTATCAAAAAAGATGGGAAATGTAAGAATGGGTTTTACCCTTCCTGGAAATAAAAAAGTTGATAAACTGTTCAAACACCAAATAGATACCTTTTGCAAGGCATCAAATCTGGATTAAGCACACATACTTGGGGCAAAACATGCAAACAAACATGCTCTGATATATGCATTGTCTTTGAAACTGATTGGCCTACACCAAAGAAAGCAGCCTTCTTCGTGGCCTTGCACTCCAGTGTTAGACAAGAGAACGCCAAAAGGCAAAGAGTACGAGTATCAGAACACAGAGCTTGGGTCAAGCAGTTAGTTATATCTATGGGACTTTTTGCCAGTATCAAAAATGATGAAAAAATAAGAATAGGTTTTACCATTTCTGGCCACCGTGCCACCCATGAAATAAGTACATATATTTAAAACATTTTTCAAACATGTTTTGTAGTTTTAAGAATAAAGTATCATAATACACAATTTGCGTATGCATAATATAGTAAACCCTCTATCCGTGAGGGTTATGTTCTTGAAAATGCAGAATTTACAAATGCAGAAATCTTATTCCAATGGGGAACACAGGTTAGAAATTTCTGCGCGCAGCTCCCCGGTGTGGGTGGTCTGGTACTACGTACACTTGCATATACTGGAGTCTGGTGGGTCGTGAATAGGGAACAAGTACACATTTAGTGGCTCGCGAATATGCAAAGGTTTACTGTAAATCTGCACAAAAACTTACAATTCCAGGGCAAAACCGGAACTTTTCGATGGATTTCAACTTTTCACAAGCCTTGGCAAAGTGTCCTGAGAAAAAAAAAGACATGGGAAATGATGCATTCTGCAGCACACCATGTGACTTAAAATTGTATGGATTCAGAGAACATCTACCCCAGGCAATTCCTGTGCAGTGTATTTTTTTTGGAAATCTTGCATGCCACATCACCAAAAGTGTGTATCGTCTGTTGTCTTTATTAGATAATAGGGACACTAAGCACTCAGACTATCCGATGACAAACAGGTTTAGAAATTAGAAGGCTAAAATTATCACTAAAGAAAATTATAACTGGGAATGTGTTATGACTCATGTGATGATGAATTGGGTCCACAACCTTTAAAAGGCAGTGCACCAAAGCAAGCATCAGTTAGATAACTAATAATAAGTTATTTTACATTTAATTACATTGAACAGATATTGGAATTTCACAGATGGATTTAAAAAATCAGATGTTTGGCTATCCGATACCATGTTGAATTTCCCAAAATAAGAAAAGTCGAATGGCTTGATTTTGAGATATCTCTGAGTCTGTGGACATTTTAAAAATGTCTTAAAACCTATTTATACACTAACGCATATGAAGCTTTTAGTTCATTTCGTAAATGGATTCTTAAAATGAATTTATAATATAATTATTTCATGCTCAGTGTCTGCTGCTCCTGTACAGTGCTTTGAGATCCTGGATGAAAATCCACAATATAAATGGAATTATTAAGATTATTGTGATTGTGAAGTTCTATTTTACAGATGTCCAGTCGGGGTGAGTGAGTTATTTCAACAAAAATCAATAAATGACATGCGTGCAAGATAGAGAAAAGGTAAGCAAGTTGCTAAGATAAATAAACAATGTAAAGTGTACAAGTACAAATTGCACAAGTGCAATACATTCCTCCCGACTTGTCATAACCACTTGTAAGTTTGGGCAAGGTAGCGAAACAACAACAAAAACAGTCCCAGACCAGCAGTAATTTGTATAATTGTTTTAAGCATTGCAATGTTTGGTTAATACCAGTTACACCATAGGTTTATTTAGCTACGAGAATAAACCGGAGGGAAACTCCCATGCAGAACAGAGGGAGAACAAACTCTCCAAAGAAAGGCGTTTGAGTTAGGAATCAAACACAGGTCCTTCTTGATGTGGGGCGCAAGTGTGACCACTGCTGCCACCCTGTTACCCACACATTTTAGTGTCACTCTCCCTACGAGCAGAAAACATGCCCTCCTTTGTCAGTGTGCAGCAGGAACTAACCTTGACAAAGGTAGAGTTGAGCGATAGTAAACTCAATTTCAGGAATAGAATCGCCATGTTGATTACAAAAGTCCTGGAAGAAACGCACGGTAAAATGTGCAAAAATAATGTTAATAAAGTCACTTGAATGGTTCACAAGCATCATATAAAATATAATTACTGCATGATTAGTGAGGAAACATATAAAACACAAGTCAAACTATTGTTAATCCCAAAGTGTATTTTATAATTGTATGGATTTTATCAAGCACAGTAATTAAAACAATACTTTCGCATTGGTGTACTATTGAACAAAAAGATTATATTTCTGATCTTATATAAGGTGGACAATTAAGTGTAAAGGTGTTTTTTAAATGTAGTTGCTGCTCTTGACTTGAAAAATGGTGACGGTTTTACCAGACCATACACTGAACATGCTTTGACATCCACACCCTGGAGTATGGACACCACTTTGATAGTGGCATAATACCTGTGATAGTGGTACATTACCTGTGATAGTGGTATAATACCTGAGAGTGGTACATTACCTGTGATAGTGGTACATTACCTGTGATAGTGGTATAATACCTGTGATAGTGGTATAATACCTGTGATAGTGGTACATTACCTGTGATAGTGGTATATTGCCTGTGATCGTGGTACATTGCCTGTGATAGTGGTATAATACCTGTGATAGTGGTATAATACCTGTGATAGTGGTATAATACCTGTGATAGTAGTACATTGCCTGTGATAGTGGTATAATACCTGTGATAGTGGTATATTACCTGTGATAGTGGTATATTGCCTGTGATCGTGGTACATTTCCTGTGATAGTGGTATAATACCTGTGATAGTGGTATAATACCTGTGATAGTGGTATAATACCTGTGATAGTAGTACATTGCCTGTGATAGTGGTATAATACCTGTGATAGTGGTATATTACCTGTGATAGTGGTATATTGCCTGTGATAGTGGTATAATACCTGTGATAGTGGTATATTGCCTGTGATAGTGTTATAATACCTGTGATAGTGGTATAATACCTGTGATAGTGGTATATTACCTGTGATAGTGGTGCATTACCTGTGATAGTGGTATATTACCTCCAGAGCCTGTATGGCCTTTTCTTGCTTTTTTTCTCTGACATACTGAGCAGCCAAGATCAGTGGGGGCAGCGGATGGTCTGGCCATTGATTCTTTAGAGACAACACCATCTTCTGGCACTGTTCCACCTGAAGGGGCACTCAGAAATTATACGAAGAAACATCAACGACTCTTAGGCAGCTCAAAAGTATGTGTCGGTCATTACGTGACCCAACTCATAAACAGCACCAGGGTTTGCAAAATAAATTCAGGAGCACCTTGAGCACACATTTTCAAACCAGGCTGCTCAGCGGTACAGCCAGGGGGGTTTGCAATCGCAAGGTTGCGAGTTCAATCTGTGGATGTTGGTTAACTCGGCCCATCCGAGGTAATTATAAAAAAGTGTAACTTATATCGGGGTAAAAAACATGAATCATCCAAAATCACCAAACAATTCCCCAGTACTTTCACCTGCCTGATGTGCATGTGTAGTGGGTTCCATTGAGACTTGAGACATAGTCTTTAGAGGCAACATGGTCTATTTAAATCTTAACAAGAAGTCCCTTTTACTCCCACTACCTTGGGAGGTATGGCCTCCGGGCTGACGTGCCCTATCACTGGGGCTACGGGCTGGCTCTGAGTCCTCCGGCTAAGGGTGACCTAGGAGAGGCTACGCTGACCCAACCCAGCCAAGGTACAGATCACGACCACTGGCCCACGCTCGGCTCCAGCCCTTAAAATGACGTCGGGTCCCGGGGTCCCAGGTACTTAGCCTAGCTGGTCTCCTATCTTTGTCTTCAGAGCACTGCCTCGATCCATCCTGAGGTCCGTCTTTTATACACCGCTCGGAGACTATCCATCCCCTTTCTGGAACCTTCCAGGGGGCTCTGGAATAACCCCCCCAACCCCTCACCTGCTGTCGGGGGGGGGGACTCGGCATCTCAACGGTCCGGCTCTCTCTCTAGCTCAGGGTGGCAGCCCCTATAGACCCATGCCCGCAACTACAGGTAAGTATACACAGGGCAGTGTGTGCTATGTATTTCTGACGCTACACATGCACAGAAGGGCACAATGCTTTTGCAATTGTATTTAACATATAGGTTAAAGTTTGAGGTGTATTTTGTTTAACAGGGTGATAACTCAGGAGACAAGAATCAGTTTTACAGTAAAACCTTGTTATTTCTGTATTTGATCATTCGTAATTGGGGATAATTCGGCACGGCTGTGCTTTCAGCATATATACAATGATATACCGAATGGTCCAATTTCGACATACAAGCGGAGCGACGCCGCGCACAACGACCAAAACAATGCCACAGTCTAGTGGCGGTGCACATGGTGAGCCTTACTGCAAACCAGTTACTTTGGACTTCACCTTGGTTATGCAGTCTGTGCAAGCCAACCCTCTCAGAAATGTCATCTACACCTACATCAAGAACTAATAGAAAGGGACTGAAGTATGAAGCCATTAGTCTTAGACAAATTCTAAGTTTTGGATAGAATTAATGCAGGAATGTCACTGTGTGGTGCCAGGCTTGTGAGACCACGGCGGGATGTACAGTATACTGTTGTGTGTACACCCCGGACATGGGGTGTAGTACCAGCCCTAGTGGAGGCTTGGGTGAGCGCGATGGCCATGCACAGCATGCAGTGCGGGCTCCCGTTGAGAGAGCGAGAGTGTCAGCCAGCTGGGGTTATGTTGGGGGCATGATACTCTGGCTGACCTGGGGACATGTGACCGGATGATACTGGAGGGGGGCCACCGGTGGAGGGGGCTAATGGGCGGTCACATGGTCCGGGAAGAATTCTCGAGAGCCTTCGGGCAAGGACGAGAGAGATCGAGAAGGTAGGCGGGGCGAGAGGCGGAGCTAACCCCAGCCCGGCCCAATATAAGGGGGGACCTGTGAGGGGCTCGGGGTTCTTAGTGTTGGAGAGGCAGGAGATCCACATGAAGATTCAAGAAGCCTCCAGCCACGCAGTCTGGGACCCAGCTTGGGTCCGGACCGGGATAGTGGAACCATGTCTAGTTCCGCCATAGCGTGGTTAGTTGGGTGGTCACCACCCAAGAGTGTGTTGTGTTAATAGCCTGGAGTATGTTGTGCTAAGAGATTAATAAAACGTGTTGCTCCCAAGACAACGTCTGCGACTCAGTTGGACTCACTACAAATGCGTATGGTGTGTGAAGAGTTTGACATAAAATCATGCACCTTTTACATCAAGAAAGGCCTGGGAGAAGATTAAGAAGCATGCCTTAACCTTGGAGGATCTTAGCAGCTCCAAAAAGGTACAGAAGAGGATCAAGGCTGCAAAGTTTGTTGACTTGGATAGTGCAATGTATAAGTGATACAAACAGGAGCGTGTAGCTGGTGTTAACGTTCGTGGTAGCACTGGGGAGTACCATTGTACATAATTCGAAATATTGTATAATGCAGCAAGGCTAGAGAGCCCCATGTGCCGAATTAAGTCTATGCAAAAGTGACCTGTGCCATTAGTCTGCCAATAGGCGTTGATGATTGCGATGTATAATCCCAATTGAGTAGTTTGCGGTTCATTTTATGATTTGGCAAATTTGGACCCTGACAACGGCAAAACGGGCCGCTCTTGCGAATGACATCAGGGAATCTTTGATGTCCACTTGTGAAGCAGATGGTGTAAAGTAGTAGTGGTCCACACCAGGGAGGCAGAAATCTCTTAGAGGCAACACATTTATTTAACAATAAAGCCCTAAACACCAAGGGGTATATCTGCCCCTTCACCAGCTACCCGAGGGAGGAATCTCCTCCGGGCTAGCTAACCCTAGCTCACACGGGGTGGCCATCTCAGACCGGACCCCGGCTCGTGTCCGTTCAGGGCTCCGGCTGATATTGCCCGTGGCGGGGCTTACTCCGACCCTAGCCACGCCCTTCCTTCAAGCCTTCGAGAGGGACCTGGTTCTGGTCCCGTGGTCCCCCAGCCTCCTCTTTGGGGCCCCCGGACCCGTACCTCTGGTCACCAGGCCTCCGGGTTCACATGGAGTGCTATGGCCCCCTGTGTACCCCTGCACCGTCCCTGGCACTCTCGCCCACACAACATGCAGTGACATCCGTCGATGACACTACAGTAGTATTATTACAATTATTAACTTTAGTCACAGTAAGTTTTCATTGTGCGCACTAATTTGCAATTTGTTATGTAACGGAGTAGTTTTGTTGCTCCGATTTCTATTGCAACATTTAGGACTTTGCTTTTCATGCTACTGTCCTTGGTGACCAAGGCCACCTTTGCAATCGAGTCTATTCTCCTCTCCTGCATTCTCACCTGGTTAAAGGAGACAAACAACCCCAATGTATTTTTTGATTTAAAGCTTTCGTGACTGCAGTAATTCATATTCTTAGTTTTTTCGGTAAAGTCACGTTGAAGGGAAACAACAAAATAATAAAATATATATAAAACAATAAAAAAATTCTCACGACGTTTCGACCATAACTCAAACGGTCGTCTTCAGGTGTGTTGGTTTGCATAAATTTATTTTTAAAGGCGCATTTATTTATTTATAAAAAAAAACGTTAGCGCCGCGCGCAACGATTTGGCAGTTTATTTAGGACTAGTCCATCTATATTCTGAAAAGAGGAGGGGGGAGACGAAATTTTTTATAATGTATGCTGTCTGAAAGCCACTGTAAGCGTGAACAATCAATTAAGACCTGAAATGGTTTATCAAATCTTTCCAATGATTGCTAAGATAGAATCCATCTTCTCGGTTGAAATTATCTCTGTGCTTGTATATGTGGATAGCCTCATGAACGAATCTCTCATGGAAGCCAGATGGCTTACAAAGAACCTCTGTCTTGGAAAAGTCAATGGCATGTGAGCATACTGAATTAGAACAATGATCTGCCACGGCCGAGGTGTTGGTCCTACCGTGTTTAAGGTCTGCTTTGTGTTCACGAATGCGGTCCGAGACATGGCGTTTGGTTTCTCCAATGTAACTACTACCACAGAGGCAACTTAGTTTGTAGACACCAGGGTATTGTATGTCCGGAATCACATCTTTTACAGACAGAACCAGATCACGGATTTTATGTAATGTGTTGAAACGGACCTGGATCTTGTGTTTATTCAAGATTTTGGAGATCTTTTTTGTGATCCCCGCAATGAAGGGTAAAGTGATGGTTTTGAAAGGCTCCTCAAGAGGGTTCTTCTTCATGGTTTGAGTGATAGCTTTGCGGATTGTATAGTCGGAGTAACCATTAGCCCTAAGAGCTTGGTGTACGTGCTTGAGTTCACTGCTTATGTGAGTTCACTTTACCCTACATTGCGGGGATCACAAAAAAGATCTCCAAAATCTTGAATAAACACAAGATCCAGGTCCGTTTCAACACATTACATAAAATCCGTGATCTGGTTCCGTCTGTAAAAGATGTGATTCCGGACATACAATACCCTGGTGTCTACAAACTAAGTTGCCTCTGTGGTAGTAGTTACATTGGAGAAACCAAACGCCATGTCTCGGACCGCATTCGTGAACACAAAGCAGACCTTAAACACGGTAGGACCAACACCTCGGCCGTGGCAGATCATTGTTCTAATTCAGTAGGCTCACATGCCATTGACTTTTCCAAGACAGAGGTTCTTTGTAAGCCATCTGGCTTCCATGAGAGATTAGGTCATGAGGCTATCCACATATACAAGCACAGAGACAATTTCAACCGAGAAGATGGATTCTATCTTAGCAATCATTGGAAAGATTTGATAAACCATTTCAGGTCTTAATTGATTGTTCACGCTTACAGTGGCTTTCAGACAGCATACATTATAAAAAATTTCGTCTCCCCCCTCTTCTTTTCAGAATATAGATGGACTAGTCCTAAATAAACTGCCAAATCGTTGCGCTAACGTTTTTATAAATAAATAAATGCGCCATTTAAAAATAAATGTATGCAAACCAACACACCTGAAGACGACTGTTTGAGTTATGGTCGAAACGTCGTGAGAATTTTTTATTGTTTTATATATATTTTATTATTTTGTTGTTTCCCTTCAACGTGACTTTACCGAAAAAACTAAGAATATGAACCCCAATGTATGTACGCACCTGGCTGGTGTGCATGCACAGGAGGGCACGGTTAAAGCTGAGAGCCTGGAGCTGAAGCTTGGTCAGTTTGTTCTCCACACCTTCAGCCAGAGTTAGCTTGATCTTCTTTTTCGAGTCAAAAACATTTTGATCCTAGAAGACATCCATGTCAAAATAATCATGCAACACCCTTGTCAAAAGACTCATGGTCATTGTGTGCCGGCTCCTAGCGGAAATGAGAAATGTGTGCCAGCTTTTATTGGGGAACTTGTAGCGTTCCTCACGTTTACATAAATGTAGCATGAGTAATGATTATTTTATGAAGGTCCCGGAAACATCCACATCAATCAAGATCCATAATCTTTGGTTTTTTCGGTAAAGTCACGTAGGTATAAAATAAAAAAAATCACGACGTTTCGGGCGCAACACAAGCGTCCGTCATCAGGTGGGAAAGCATGGTCTGCTGCCGAGGCAGACTCTTTTAAAAGGTTTGAAATGGGTGTAGCCCAAGGGTCATAAAGAAGTGGCCAGGGCTAGTGATGTTAATGTGAGAAATTAGCATGTAACTGTAAGATAGGAAAGCGGCCTCCTCGACGAGGGAGTGCAACCCAACGGGTGCAATCCAAAGGGCATGTGAGTATGAGAGTGCAACCAGGTAAAGTCTTAACTGACTGTGGTGTTTCCATCCTACCTGCCTGTCAGCTGTTATTTCCGACTCTGTGTCTCTCTCTATACCTCTTTCTCAGATCTCTCATGCTCACATGTCCTTGGCATTGCACTCTCATGCCTTTGGATTGCACTCTCATGCCTTTGGATTGAACTATCATGCTCACATGTCCTTTGGATTGCACCCGTTGGGTTGCACTCCCTCGTCGAGGAGGCCGCTTTCCTATCTGACAACAACATGCTAATTTCTCACATTAACATCACTAGCCCCGGCCACTCCTTTATGACCCTTGGGCTACACCCATTTCAAACCTTTTAAAAGAGTCTGCCTCAGCAGACCATGCTTTCCCACCTGATGACGGATGCTTGTGCTGCGCCCGAAACGTCGTGATTTCTTTTATTTTATACCTACGTGACCCTTTCTGAAAAAACCAAAGAGTATGGAATCCTGCAGTCACGAAAGCTTCAAATCAATCAAGATCTAGTTTCTCTGGTTAAAACAGTTTCTACACACGATAACATTTATGTACCTTGTTAATAGTAACAATGTTGTTTGCTGCGACAGCAAGAAGTCCAATGTCCGAGGGCCTGAAATAAAGGAGAAAAAAATGCTGGGTTAGTCGATTATTTGATTAAGCCTCACTGAGTCTCAAGACCCTTTTTCAAGAGGGCTCTGCCAACATTTCAGAGTAGGGGGGGGGGGGGGCAATGTTCTCGCGTTTTAGCTGCCGGGCGCTGCACTCATTTTTGCGTCACTCCTCTGCTCGCTATTGATTTTGGAGGGTGACTGCCTCTAAATACCCAGGAGCATCTTTCATGGGCCTTCACAAGAGGCCAATCTTCAAACCGCTGGTACAAGTCATTGGCAAGGCCACTCAGCTCCACATCCTCCTGTACCACATTAGTCCATCTCTTCTCTTACACGTGCCGTGCCCATTTAGCTCCTTCTATCCGGCTGAACATAAGCTGCTTGCTTGGGGCATGCAGTGGCTGGGCATTTAGGCTACATGACCAAACTCGCACACACTCAGGGGCCTTGCGAGCAATACCGAATCACAAAGGCACAAACCTCGATTTGACCACCTGGCTGTAGAGGTGTAGAGCTTCATCGTGTCGGCCGAGCTTTTGGTGAATGAATGCCTCTTGGCAATGGATGGTGGCCAGCTCCATCTGGATGTCATCCTCTGTGACGTCCTGCACCACAGAAACTCACTAAAATCATCCACCAATTGACAGTGCACTCCAATCAGAATACCCACCACATAAAAAAATATAAGATAATGATTTATTTTGAATAGAGCACCCTTCACACCGGGGCGTCTCAAAGAGTTTGAACATGATAAGCCACTTGCATCACATTTAATCTCAAACATTTGAAAGGGCACCCCCTATGGGTGCAGGGTGACTCCGCATCTGGCCTACAACCAGGTATTGGTCTGCCAGTAGTGATGACGAGTACAGTGAGGGGAAAAAAGTATTTGATCCCCTGCTGATTTTGTACGTTTGCCCACTGACAAAGAAATGATCAGTCTATAATTTTAATGGTAGGTTTATTTGAACAGTGAGAGACAGAATAACAACAAAATCCAGAAAAACGCATGTCAAAAATGTTATAAATTTATTTGTAGTTTAATGAGAGAAATAAGTATTTGACCCCCTCTCAAACAGCAAGATTTCTGGCTCCCAGGTGTCTTTTATACAGGTAACGAGCTGAGATTAGGAGCACACTCTTAAAGGGAGTGCTCCTAATCTCAACTTGTTACCTGTATAAAAGGCACCTGTCCACAGAAGCAATCAATCAATCAGATTCCAAACTCTCCACCAAGGTCAAGAACAAAGATCTCTCCAAGGATGTCAAGGACAAGATTGTAGACCTACAAAAGGCTGGAATGGGCTACAAGACCATTGGCAAGCAGCTTGGTGAGAAGGTGACAACTGTTGGTGCGATAATTCGCAAATGGAAGAAACACAAAAGAACTGTCAATCTCCCTCGGCCTGGGGCTCCATGCAAGATCTCACCTCGTGGAGTTGCAATGATCATGAGAACGGTGAGGAATCAGCCCAGAACTACACGGGAGGATCTTGTCAATGATCTCAAGGCAGCTGGGACCATAGTCACCAAGAAAACAATTGGTAACACACTACACCGTGAAGGACTGAAATCCTGCAGCGCCCGCAAGGTCCCCCTGCTCAAGAAAGCACATATACATGCCCATCTGAAGTTTGCCAATGAACATCTGAATGATTCAGAGGACAACTGGGTGAAAGTGTTGTGGTCAGATGATACCAAAATGGAGCTCTTTGGCATCAACTCAACTCGCCATGTTTGGAAGAGAAGGAATGCTGCCTATGACCCCAAGAACACTATCCCCACCGTCAAACATGGAGGTGGAAACATTATGCTTTGGGGGTGTTTTTCTGCTAAGGGGACAGGACAACTTCACCGCATCAAAGGGACAATGGACGGAGCCATGTACCGTCAAATCTTGGGTGAGAACCTCCTTCCCTCAGCCAGGGCATTGAAAATGGGTCGTGGATGGGTATTCCTGAATAACAATGACCCAAAACACAAGGCCAAGGCAACAAAGCAGCGGCTCAAGAAGAAGTACATTAAGGTCCTGGAGTGGCCTAGCCAGTCTCCAGACCTTAATCCCATAGAAAATCTGTGGAGGGAGCTGAAGGTTCGAGTTGCCAAATGTCAGCCTCGAAACCTTAATGACTTGGAGAAGATCTGCAAAGAGGAGTGGGACAAAGTCCCTCCTGAGATGTGTGCAAACCTGGTGGCCAACTACAAGAAACGTCTGACCTCTGTGATTGCCAACAAGGGTTTTGCCACCAAGTACTAAGTCATGTTTTGCAGAGGGGTCAAATACTTATTTCCCTCATTAAAATGCAAATCAATTTATAACATTTTTGACATGCGTTTTTCTGGATTTTGTTGTTGTTATTCTGTCTCTCACTGTTGAAATAAACCTACCATTAAAATTAGACTGATCATTTGTCAGTGGGCAAACATACAAAATCAGCAGGGGATCAAATACTTTTTTCCCATACTGTATGTGTAATCTAAATGGCGTAATTTGGAGGTAATTTTTCGAAATAGGAAAATTTGGACCATCAAACCAACAGAACATGCCTACTCTTGCAAATTACTCGACATGAAGGTCAACATTCACTGTGAAGCAGACGGCACATTAAATTTGTTATCGTTAATACACCCAGAGTAATAGGCGGGTTTAATTTATTCATTTTTTATGAGCATTACAACAAGCAGTAGCGAAACACGCTACACCCCTAGGATACGACACCACCCCGTTTATCAACACGAGCGTGACATGCAGCAGTACTCACGGGATCTTCAGACAAACTTTGACGACACAGTTCTGAAAAGCATGAAGTGGACAGATAGAGAGCCATTCTGAAAGATCTGTAAACACAGTCAGCCTGGCCTTTCACACATCGCGATTTTTCAATAGGGCGTTACAATTAATTTAAAATTATTTTTTTATGCGTGCACTACTATTGAAATAACGCACTCCAGCTCGTTGGTCATGGTACTACAGAACACGCTGCGAGCTGATCGTTAGTCAGGCAGCAAAGTAGTGATGCTGCCTGAGGCGGAGTATGACAACCACAAGCAGGGCCGGCATCAGCATCTCCTCGTGTGCCATTTTGGAGATCTTGTCCACGTGAACTGTCTTGTGCACGCATTTGCCTACAAACGTCTTGTAAGCATCTCCACTGCGTGTTAAACATCTTTGTTGTTTAACTTGGTTTTCTTTCTTTAAATAGGCCGTTATCTTTAACACCTGTATGGTGGCATTGTACAACCAGTGAAATATGTCAATGTAAGAATGAGTTTCGATAGTGCTCTCCCTAACCCCAACCATTTCCTTAATTTTTTATGAGAAAATTACGTTAAATTTAGGGGCCGTCCATAAATGACGTCACACGATTTTGGCCGTCACAAAAAGTTAGACCCCCCCTCAAATATGACGTCACAAAGCTCTGCGCCCCCCCCCCCCCAACCATATTTCCATTTTGAAAATAAAACATGCTTCAAATCACTTTAAACAAACTATTGTCATTGTAGTACGTATTTAATGTGGCGCTACACTCTGATGTTGTAGGAGAAAACATGTATTTAAAAGGCATTGGAAAGCTGAAATTTAGCATAAAATTCACTTGAAAATATTCAACGTCTAACTAAAACTGCAAATGTTCAGAATATTATAGTGAAATTCTCTTATAATTCTAAAATATTAAAAGTAATTATAACTATTAAAAATATACTTGAAACTTAGTAGAATGACGCAAAATGGAGAGTACAATTATAACAATCACATACTTAAATTTTGATTTAAAGCTTTCGTGACTGCAGTAATTCATATTCTTAGTTTTTTCGGTAAAGTCACGTTGAAGAGAAACAACAAAATAACAAAATATATATAAAACAATAAAAAATTCTCACGACGTTTCGACCATAACTCAAACGGTCATCATCAGGTGTGTCGATGATGACCGTTTGAGTTATGGTCGAAACGTCGTGAGAATTTTTTATTGTTTTATATATATTTTGTTATTTTGTTGTTTCTCTTCAACGTGACTTTACCGAAAAAACTAAGAATATGAATCACATACTTATTTCACAGAATGAAAAGCCCTGGTAGAATCATTAGAATCAAAATGTTTAATAACAATCATTAAAAAATTTTACTAAATTTATGCTTCTCCATTCTCCCATGGAGAAGCAAAATGCTCCTTCATGGAATAAATAAAAGGTGACCTTAGTAAATTTTCATAATAAAGGTTTTTGGGTTCGATCGCGTTATTTATAAATGTGTCGTAACCCTCCACCACCCGACACGGCCAATCAGCAAAAAAGTGTCACGTTGACAAAAGACAAATAGTTCACTACTTTAGCCCACCGGTGTGTTGAAGAATTAATCCACATTTACTGTAAATGTAAATTTACTGTGTTGAAAAGTGAATCCACAACATTTACAGTAAATTTACATTTACAGTGAGTGAATCCACAACATTTACAGTAAATTTACATTTACATGTTGTGGATTCACTCTTAAACACACCGGTGGGCTAAAATAGTGAACTATTTGTCTCTTGTCAACGTGAGACTTTTTTGCTGATTGGCCGTGTCAGGTGGTGGAGGGTTACGACACATTTATAAATAACGCGATCTAACCCAAAAACCTTTATAATGAATAATATTGGTCGCGAAAGCCTACGTGTTAAACTTAGTACATTTTAATCATCAAATAGTTAATAATGAAAAGTAATCAAAATTAGTGTTGTTATAGCAATTCCATTTCATTAACATTTCAAGTTGCGCATTTTGATGTGACGTCACATTTCACAAACCCCCCCTCCCCCCCTCGTCACGCATCGTCACAAATGTCTGACCCCCCTCCCCCCCCCTCGGTGCGTGACGCCATTTATGGACGGCCCCTTACGCGAGTTTGAGTTATGTACCACTTTTCAACAACCCCCTGTGTAAAAACGAGAAGCAACTGTAATGACACAAAAGTGCATTTGTATCTTGAATTACCTTGAGCTTTCTCTAGTTTTTGCATCGCTTCCAGCAGCTTCCCTTGACCAAGCAGTGCACATGCCATATTGTAGCACTGCTCATAGCTCTCCTCAGCAAATCCAAAGTCATTATCCTTTAGGAGACAGAAACATATCCCAATTTTATTTTGATTCATAGTTCATTTGGGTTAGTCCATGTAATGGTCTCACAAAATGCGTGATTGAGACCGCCCGTCATCCAATACTTAATTGCCACTTGTGCAATCAAATTATCACATGTACAATCGTTTACGTGCCAATAATTGTTTCAGCTCATCGGTGGGTTGAAGAACAATCCCCAAAAATGTACAGTATTTAGCAAATTAGACAAAGTAGATATCCTATATCAATACATGGCCTATCCTAAAAATAAATTATGAATCATCCATAATAGAGTTTTTTTTTGGTTAGATCGTGTAAATAGAAATGTGTCGTTAAACTCGCCACCACCCGACAGCCAATTGGTAAGGTTTGTCACGTAAACAGAACGTGTCAATTCGGTACAAGTACGGCACTAACCGATGTGTTGGAGAGCAAATCCACAACATTTAAAATCTTGAGTATGTTTTGCCAGTAATTACAAATAGGTTCATTATGCAGACAGCCAGATTTGTGGAGAAATCCTGTTTCGTTCCTTAGAGGGATTATGTGATGGCGTCACTTGTGATCCCTTCACGTGCGAGGGGGGGGGACTAATTCATGCATAAACATTACAATGGGTATCCGTTAATGGTTGGGTTATGTATATGGTAAGCAATGTACATTATGCATGCACATTATGCATGTATCCACAAATTATTAATAATTTTGTTATGAAATAAATGGCATGCAATAATAATCGTAACTATAACTACTAAAAACGAACAATTTAAAAACAAAACCGTAATGAACTTAACACTGTTTTAACCAGTGACATGATTTCCGTCCTTTCTAAAGGCCTTAACTTTGCCGTTACCCCACGCACAATTCCAGTGGATGAGATCATTGCTGAGGTAAAATCAGCAGTAAGACTCCTTCCACATAATGAGGCAGAGATGACTAGACACGAGGTTGCCAAAATAATTGAGAATAGCAAAGTACCAAAAGTAAATATTAGCTCGAACGAAGCAAAAGCCTTAAAAGAGCTCTGATTAAATAAAGATATTCAAATCCTGGCAGCTGCACTACTGTAGTGATGTCACGAGCCGATTATGATAATAAAATTAAAGATTTACTAGAGGAAAGTACCTGCATTAAAATTAGAGACCCAACTAATAATTTAAAACAGCGGTCCCCAACCTTTTTGGCACCAGGGACCGGTTTCGTGAAAAAAAAATGTTTTCACTGACCGGGGGGGGGGGGGGTCATCATTGGGTCTTTCCCTCTTTCTGAAAGAAGCTCTCCAGCGACGTTTGTTTTTTACTCATTTTGGCTACTAGGGGTTAGAGCTTGTGGGCTTACTAACACTGTGACAAGTGCGCAGTGCAGAAGAGGCGCGGATGGAAGTGGTAAAAAAAATGGGCGCGCCACGCGTGGACTCACCTCCTGCTGTGCGGCCCGGTTCCCAACAGGCCACGGACCGGTATCGGTCCGTGGCCAGGGGGTTAGGGACCCCTGCTTTAGAACGTAAGACTACTGCAATCATTGCAAATCAATTAATCCCTAAGACTGAGTAAAACCAAATTAAGCCAAGGGCCTCAAAACCACCTAGACTGTATGGGCTACCAAAGATTCATAAAATAGGCATCCATTATGACCCATAGTCAGTACAATTGGCTTTGCCACATATGAACAAAATATAACTAAACAAATACAACCCTTTACATTATGAGACCTCCTTTGCCAGTAACAAGATATAGTAATAGGTTTTACCCTTTTAACTGGCACAAAAAACTGACACCTTTTTTGTGCCAGTTAAAAGGGTAAAACCTATTACTATATCTTGTTACTGGCAAAGGAGGTCTCATAATGTAAATGCTCACCCCGAGTCCTCAATACTCTGATAGTGTGCTGTTTTTGAGTTGTACGCCTTTTGGCGTCTTCTGGTCCAACACCAATGGAGACTAGGCTCTAAAGAAAGCAGTCTCGGGTGTGGACCAATCAAATTCAAGGACAGTGCATATTATTATCAGAGTTGTCTTTTTGTTTGCATTTTGACTGCTTGTGTTGCGGTTATTGCAGACATGATGCTTGAATAAAGGTGTCAGTTTTTTGTGCCAGTTAAAAGGGTAAAACCTATTACTAAATACAACCCTACATCGGTAGGACATCTCCATGCATAAGAAATTCAAAACATCTTGTGAATGTGATTAAAGATATCAAACTTAACCCTAATGATATTCTGGTGAGTTTTGATGTGATTTCTCTATTCACAAAGATTCCAGTGAACGAGTCACTTAAATTACTCGATACACTAATAAAGAATACAGGTTTACCAAAAGATATCCCAAAACTAGCTGACCATTGTTTAAATAACACTTACTTCTTATGGAGAGGTGATTTCTTTAAACAAAAGGAAGGAGCCGTAATGGGCTCTCCTTTATATACTGTTATAGCAAATCTGTACGTGGAAAACTTTGAAACAAGAGCACTTGCCTCGAGTACATTAAGACCATCTTTTTTGTTTAGATATGTTAACGACACTTTGGTTGTCTGGCCACATGGTAAAGATGCACTTAATGATTTTCTAAATCATCTCAATGCACAAAACCCGTCCATCCAGTTCACCATGCAAATGGAGGTGAATCCACACTCCCGTTCCTAGATATTTTGCTTGGACATGGTCTAAATGGCAAAATGACACACAGCGTTTACTGAAAGCGAACGCACACTGATGAGAATCTGAATAAAGATTCCCATCATCACCCAGCTCAGAAATCTTCTCTTATCACGACACTCATACATCGGGCTAAAACAGTGTCAGATGGTGAAAGTCTAGTGAGAGAGATTAAACATGTTAAAGAAGCACTACGACAGAATGGCTACAATAATGCTCAAATTAACAGAGCACTGAATGCCAAATCACGAACGCAAAGCAACACTGCTGAAAGCGTTCAGATTGTTAAAACAATTAAAATACCATCTTTTATCAGGAGTAACTGACAAATTAGCCCGTGTTTTGCAAAAGCAAAACATTAGAGTAAGATTTGGTACAGGACACAGAATTCAAAAACTAGCATCTTGCACTAAAGACAAATTGCCCAAATTACAAACAAAAAGTGTATATCGAATTAATTGTTTATGTGGCAGATGCTATATTGGTCAGACAGGATGTCACATCAGCATAAGACTAAAATAAAACCAAAGAAATATTAAATTATCTCAAACTGTTGGCAGTGGCAGAACATGTTTGTCAACAAGGACACTCAATTGATTTTGATAAGGTTGAAGTGTTGTGTAAAACTAATTATTACTGGCCAAGACTAATTAGAGAATCCATTGAAATTGAGAGAAATACAAATAACTTTAATCGCTCTGACAGCTACAGGCTTAGTGCTGCCAGGAAGCGTATTATTAAATAAAATATATATTACAATTACAATTCCTTATAGGGAAAACAAATACTAATTAATAACAATTGAATGATTACCAATCTATTATATAATTGCAATACCTTCCCCCCTCTTTGCCTCAAATCACTGCACCAGATTGGGTTATTTAAGACCGGGAGCAAGCGGAGAGCTTCAGTATTCTGGCAAAATTTCCCGATGCTGGATGTAATTACCAGCGAAACGTCGTACTAAAAAATTGTAAATGATGTTGATTCAATCTTCAACACACCGATGGGCTAAAATAGTGAACTATTTGCCTTTTGTAAATGTGACACATTTTTTACTGTTTGGCCGTGTCGGGTGGTGGAGGGTTACGACTAAAGGCCGACCGAAACTGAATTCCTGGTTTCGGCCAAAACCGAAGCCAAAACTGAAAGTTTAACTCCACTTTCGGCCGAGACCGAAACAGAAAGGTACATAACCGAAGTTACCGAACACAAGATTTATGTCATGATGCAATGCTACTTTAATTAAAAATAAATCTAGAACTAATCATTCAGAACCTGCAGGAAGTCGCTAAATATAAAATCTTTAGGTGTTACTTAGTAATTATATCCAAACAAACGAATGTTGCAGCTAAGAAATACGAGTTTTTCGGCATTCTCGCCCAGCAGGTTGCTGCGCCTTGCTTTGATCAAAATCGACTTTTGTGAAGTAATCCCACACCGCATGTTTCGACATTCTTCATGGTGATTAACTGCTCCATTTATTAACTTTAATTTTCTACTTCACTCAGATTCATACTTTCGCGATCACTAATTCACTATGGAACTATTAACTAACTGAATATCCATATTGCCAGACTTTGAATCTCGGTATCAACACTCGTGTAGACTTAAGCGAACGCAACACATAAGCCAAGGCGGGCAGGCGGCTAGGAACAAACAGAGACACTTTGTTGTCTTCCCGCCAAAGAGACTCCACCCACGGATGCAGATACAGGCTGCCGTCTGCTGACATTAGCAGACCATCGTTGCGGCTGTAACCTCGCTCCCAAGCTGCTGCTGCTGACGTGTGTGTGTGTTTACAGCCTATCGCATAGGATTGCCTAGCGCCGACTGACCGGCCGATAGGCAGAGAGATAGACGTAGCACTCGCGTTATATTCTAAAAATAGATCTTCGGTTGACGACCGAAAGTCAATATCAGTTTCGGCCGAAACCAAAACCAGACCGAAAGTAAAAAATTGACATTCGGCTGAAACCGAAAGTAAACCGAAAGTTAAAAATTGATTTTCGGCCAAAACCGAAACCAAATTTCGGTCGGCTTCTAGTTACGACACATTTGTAAATAACGCGATCTAACCCAAAAACCTTTATTATGAATATTGGTCGCGAAAGCCTACGTGTTAAACAAAGTACAAATCAAAGACAGACATTCAACACAGGATGTTCTCCTTTAACGTGTTATCATTAATAATATATAATATAGGGTAAAGCATAGTCCGCGATAATGCGTGATATGCGTACGCGGGACGAACAAAGACTGAGGCCCGTGGGTAGCATCTAGAAGCATCCAGCAGCATCCCAGTGCCTCACGTGATGCTACGTCGAGGCAGCCGTACAACCGCTTATTCCTACTTGAGTGACATCGTTCCGTTCCCTCTATCGCATTATAAACAATTCACATCCACATTATAAAAAATGTGTTCCCCGATTCATTAATTGCGTTATATCCAATTTACATTATGCAAACACGCGGCGTATAGGAGAACAGACTGGACACAGTATTTAGTCCTAAAGTGTTGAATTAAGTCATCAGTAGAAAAAAAATTACGTTAAAAAATATACATCTTGTGTTACATAATGGTTGACATTGACAAAACACTCAATGGGCAAGCAATGTCTCCTTCACATATTCGTTGCTTCATGTAAAAAAATAACAGTATTTATTACACAAACCATCGGCCTGACAGCCTTCTGGGAGTGCATTATTTCAGCAACATTGAGTACAAGCAAACTCTGGACCGGATTCGACATTCAGTGTCTCATCAGCAGAGCCAGGCTTGCTTGAGTCAATGCTGGTAAACTGCCAGCATAGAAGATATTAATCCAGGTTCAATGCAAACTTACACAGATACATAACAAAATAATCACGAGCATGGTTGTGGATAAAAAGACGAGCTTTACATTTTATAAAAACCTCTCCAAGCGAGATTCCAGTAACCCAGAATTCACGGTATCCCAGGCTACCTGAAATTAAGGTAGAAAAAAAGACGACTGGAACACTGTTCACGTGCGATTTAATGAGCACACTCGGTGGCGTGCGATGTCAACTTGCAAATCTAAAGCTATGCATGCTTTTTCACATTCGATGGAATTCAGAAATATATTTTGTAAATACAACTCTATATTCTGTCCTAAATGTCTCATCTGGCTGCATTCTGTCATCTATATTTTGTCCCCTGCATGTTTTCGACATTATTTTGCTCACGTCACCGTCTCTCTTTTATTGGACTTCATTGCATGAAAAGAAACGTAATTTTGGCTTTGATGTCAAATCTGCAGGACACTTTATGCACCTCCGAGTCGCAATCCATCATTCAACTGTCAAATGTTTTTTAATGTGAAGCATTACAAATAGTTGTATTATCATTACTTAAGGATTTGGCATTTGGCAAATATCAGACGCACTATTTGGTGCACCACTAATCGGACCCTATCACAGGTTTAGTTTTCTCATCTAAGAAAACGGAGCTACTTACACACGCAGCAGAATCTGTCCACATTGCCACGGCCGCGTACGCTGCAGACAAATTAGTCATTCGCTCTTCATCATAGTCATCTTGGGAATTGCGGATGAGGTCCCGGTACACCGCTAGACAATCCTCATACCTCTCCAGTCGATACAGCTGCAAGAGAGATTGGCGTGTCAATCACCTCACGAGCATGAAGCATACAGATACTGCACAAATGAGATTCGCTTCAAACAACTTAAAAACATTAACCGTACATACATAAGAACATGAGAAATCTTCCGAATGAGAGGGGTGTCACATTCAGTCCATCGAGCTCATTAGCTTGTTCGTAGTACATATATCAATTCAAGTATCACATCGAGCCATTTCTTCAAACAGCTCCCCATGCGCACTACAGAAGAATCCGTGAAGATGCAACAGCAAAATCCAATGACTGCGATCACATCCCAAGCTACGAGAGAACCCTTGGTTGAGTGATAGTGCGCTCACTGCTTTTTGCAGAGGTTCGCGGTTTGAATCTGGCAGGCCATCCTCGTTCATTTTGCAAGTGTATTAGCCGTACCAAAAAATGGTTTGAGTTCATTTAATTTGTTTCACGGATAATCCCGTTTAGCCAGTTTCCAAGGCTATTTTACAAGCGAGACCCGTGGAGTACGAGTGCAGCAGCAACACAAACAAAAAGACAAAAAATAAATATTGCCGAGAATGAGTACAGGGTCATAAGGAATATTGCACAGCTAAAAAAACAGGGTATTTAATGGTCATGAACAAAACACACGTGAATCTAAAAACAGTGCACACACAGTGTGAGAGCATGAAGTGGCAGAAAACATGTAGGTACGGGTGCATTTAAGATCTATATTTTGGTCTAATAGCGACAAACACGCAAATCGAAAAAAAGGCAGTGCAAACAGTGCATACATAAAATGAGAGCAAAGAATGCCAGAATAAAGTTAGGCATAGGTGAAAGTAATCTCTGCATTTTGGTCTATTGGGGGTTGCTTCATGGGGGACATTAAAGATCCCGCCATTATGTGCTAAAGCCAGAGTTCAAATTTGCCAAATACTCAAATAATTTAGTTGGGAACATGTAACAATTGTGTCCCTGACAACACGAACTTTACAGGGCACTCCTGCAAACATCTTGAAGCTCACTGAGGCTTTTCTGGGTAAACAAGTGTCATCATAATAACATCGTAATGTAAAATCAATTAAGACTTCACTGCACAATTTTTATTTGTCCTGTACTGCAAATGTTCAGTTTTAACCCTGGCAACAACCTTCTAATTGATAATGCTGGCTGTTAATATAATTGGGTTCAAAGTTATCAAACTAATATGCTACATGCAGAATTCACCCTGCTCACTAATGAATAACATACTTCCCGCATGGTTCATGCTGAGAATTAACAAAGTCACTGCAGAACGCACAACACAATGACAGACCTGACTATTACTGCAAATACCCAGTGACTGCAACCTTACCAGTCATAATTCCACATGGTTAATGAATCGAAAAATCAACAAATATAGTTGTTATTGTGCGTGTTTAACCAGGGAAGCCCTACTGAGTCTTAAGAATCTTAATCAGGAGGGACCTGCTGAGTTTTTGCAACCCCAACGAAGTAATTTGCGGCCATCACCAGTTGTATTGTACGTTTTTTAGCTATGGGCGAAAACCAGAGATCCCGATGACAAACCCAAAGCAAAAAGAGGGAAAGAACATACAAACTCCATACAGAAAGATGCCCAAGTCAGGAATCAGAACCCAAGAGCTTCTTGCAGAGGCACAAGTGTTACCAATGCACCGCCTGAATCCTGGCGTGATGTTTTTTTTGGTTTCACCATTTCACAACTTTGTAAACATTTAACTATTAAAAAAGCAGAAACTCCAAAATAGATGTCAAAAGAAGGTAAAAACAAGTTAAGGTAAAACCAAAACGTTTCCGATGAGGTAGTGTCAATTGAAAGCACTTAATGTTATTGTACAATACAAAAGTTTCACGTGTGTGGATAAACACCAACCACTTGTCCCAGGAGTTCTTTTAACTTGTTGGTTTGTTGTGAAGCACTTTCGATCGTCTTTAGAGCACCATCAATCCTGTTCAGTCTGTACTCGCAATACGCTTTCTCAAAGGCAATTACATCTCTGCAAAAAAAACATGTACACATATCTGGTCATTAGTGGGACAAGTGAGAGTGCAGTCGTGGAGTGCCATCATCAGTCATGGTTATAACCCACTGCTGGATGGAAACTTCCCCAAGCCAACACCACCTCTCGTATTCCTGTGATGCAATGATGCATCCAGAACGTGCACATTAATTGATTTCATAGCTCCATATCTCTTCGGCAGACATCTACTCGGACGAGTTCCATTCCATTGCTGCCACTGTTATTATTCTTGACCACGTTATAGCATAACATCTGGCCCTGACTGGGATCACTTATTTCTTGATAGTTTCTTAACAGTACTCCATTAAATCCAATCTTTTCTTGATCAGATATTCCATTTTCTGCACTTCACAGTAAAATATCCAAAATTTTATAATAACTAAAAGTTTTCAGGTCCCAATGGCCCTCATCTCCGAAATCCTGCAGAGGGGCATAGAGGCCTTCAGGCTTCACTTGTAACGTATGAAGGCTAAGCCAAGGTACTATATGCAATCGTAAAATCTAAACTACTGGAAGAAAAACTGAATAACATTCGGGAACATTCTTTTAAGAAACGATGTCATAATTTAACAAAATATTTTGATAGAGCACATTATCCATGTATTTTGCATCTTTGTCCAGATAGGAAGCCTTTTGGGCCAGAATCTTGATGGCTTTACTGGATCCAGCGCGTGAGCTTGCCGCGTAATATTGGCCATGACTAAACGTGCGAGGTAGGAAAATTCCAATTTTCCGCAGTTTTGTTATTAGCTCTTGCAGTGCCACACCCACCACTGTTCGTCCTGCTGCGTGCACCACAGCTCCAGCCCCCTCCCCCCACCACGTGCATTTCTCTGCACCCCTAGGTTAGGCCACAACCACTCTCCGTTAGCCCCCCAGCCCCGGTCACCTCCAGGCAAGCCCTGCCCTCCGCCATCAAACCTTCTTCCTCACTCATGGCTTGAGCCACGCCCACTCTCAGTTAGACCACGCCCCTCAATGTTAGACCACGCCACCTTCCGCCCGAAAGAACAATTGAATCTATTGGTGGAATCAGCAGCAGCGCACCGTTGTCCGCTAATCGATTCTGATTCCAGCCGCACCCAAACGGACAAAGGAAACGACAGGGGAATTGTCAATGCAACGATTCTGCTCCCCCTAAATCAATAAAGTAATCGGCAGGGTAAATCAGCAACGCACCGTCCAGCGTAGATCGATTCCATTCACCTCTGACACCAATGCTGTAGTCATGTTGGAAGATGGGTTGTAAATTAAGTTTGTGTGTCTTAAATTGTTCCATGGTGGCCGTATATACACGGCGCAAATGTGTTGCAAATCGGGCCGCCGTAAATCAGATGTTTCCTAATTTTTGTATTCTTTTTTATTGACATTTAAAAATATATAAAAGCATATTCTATGGGTCTTTCGGCAAAGCCATGTAGATAGAAAAATAATAATAAAAATATCACGACGTTTCGATCGCAACACAAGCAATCGTCTTCAGGTGAGAGAGATTGCTTGTGTTGCGATCGAAATGTGATATTTTTATTAATTTTCTATCTACGTGGCTTTACCGAAAGACCCATAGAATATGTATTCCTGCAGTCACAAAAGCTTTAAGCCAAGTATATAAAAGCAATATTTAATTCAATATTAATGTTTCAGAAATGAAATGCACTAAAAAATGGGCTTTAAAATAAACAAAATCCAGACAGAGATTATTTAAATTATTTTGCTGCTATAAATTTCCACATGATAAGCCATTTGTTTGGCTTATCATGTAATTTGTGGCCAGGTCGCTTCTGAAAAATAAGTTAATAGTTCAGTGGGCTTTACCTGGTAAGATACAAATTATTTAGTTTTATTTGCATATTTTAAGTCATTTATTTACATTTCCTATACTTAGCACTCCTATCGTGTTTTTGAATTTTTTGTTGTTGTCACGTTTGGACCCACCCCAACTGGACGTGTGAAAAAGAGCTTTATAGCTCATCGGATTCCTCCAGTATATAGATTCTGAGTAACAAACTCACACTCTTTGGTTCTATTCGGTAAAGTCACGTAGGTAAAACAAATTCGCTGCACCAAGGTGCAGCGATTTCGCTGTGACTGGTTCCACCTGAAGACGGAAGCTTGCTTTGCCTCCGAAACGTCGTGTTTTAATTGTTTCTTTCATTTTATTTCAATTTATTTTGTATTTGTTTTACGTACGTGACTTTACCGAATAGAACCAAAGAGTATGAATCCTTGCAGTCACAAAAGCTTCAAATCTAGAACAAACTCACACTTGCTCCATTACAGTATGAATAAAAAATGTGTATGTTAATAATTGGATCCGATACATTATTATTAAAATATGATATATTAATTTGCAATGTTTGACATGTATTGCTCTCAGCGGGATTTTGGTCATCATCATGAAGCTGCCCCACCCACCACTACCTGCGACTGCTACCCACACAATGCCCCCTACCACTTCCACAGCCTCCACCACCGCCCAAACTATCCCAACCCTGTGTGTCATGGAGAGGGGCCAAAGCAAAAAGGAAAGGCGCAGAGCCAAGAGGGGAAGAGGGGAAAAAACAATGGGAGGGCCAGATCCGAAAGAGCAATGGGCGGGGCCTACAGAAGTTAAACTTCCCTGTTAATTTTTAATTTAAAGCTTTCGTGACTGCAGGGATTCATATTCTTGGTTCTTTTGGCAAAGTCACGTAGAAGTGAAATAATAAAATACAAATAAAACAATTAAATTATCACGACTTTTTGATTGCAACACAAGCAATCATCATCAGGTGTGAAAACCACAGCAAGAAAATTTGAAAAAAGTGGCGGTTTTCAAATTTAATTGTTTTATTTGTATTATTTTATTATTTCCCTTCTACATGACTTTACCGAAAGAACCAAGAATATGAATTCCCTGGTAATTTAAGGTAACAGAAGCATAGAATAGAATATGTGCAGTGGGCAGAATCATACATTGTGCTGCAGATGTGGCCACAGGTCAACTGGTCTAGTTTTAATCTAATTGGTTGTCCCTTTAAAATCATGACACCTATTTAAGAAACTTGGCTAGATGTGACGGGGTTATTCTGGCTTGCTGGATTTTATTTTGACTTCCTGGATCTCGCCCTGATGTCATTTGACCTAGTTTTAAGTGACTCGTCATACGATTCATTGTTCAAATTGTTTTTTTTTAAGTTACATTTTTATAATGATTAATTTACATTTTTAGGACTAAATGCTATTTATCTGGTAAGTATTCGATTTGTACTTTGTATTATTATCTATGATAATTGCACTGAATGTTTCGTAAACAAAATTATTCAGAATTTGTGTATGAAATAGGCCACATATTGACATTTTATCCAATGTGTCTAACTGCTAAATATAGTTGTGCAGATTGTTCATCAATCTATTGGCTCGTTAAATACTTGAACAAGTAACAATTGTCCAGTCGTGGAGGGTTTAATGACATATCTGGTCATATTACACAAAGCCTAACAATAAATAAATTATTAATCATTATAATGGCTGTGAAGACCTTTACGTTGAGATAAGCCGACATAAACAAATTACATGCTATGCCAAAGTCGATGTGAACCACCTCTGCACTGGTCACTCATTCGCCTGCTCAATTCCAGTGGAACCTACGCGGTCAGAAGCTTGGAGTTGTTGTTGATAAGGTGCAGGGCTTCCTTGAAGTTGCCCTGCTGAATGAGGCACACGACCTTGCAATGCAGCGCAGTCACGTCCTCCTTGCTGTCTTGCAAGACTGCGTACGGCACAGAGACATCCACAAGGAGAGATCCATGCAGGGAGATGTCATAACAAAACACACGCAAACAACTCTCATGCATGGATCCACCCTGAAACATTGCTCCACATCTGTGGTTCCATCCAATCGCTTCCCAAGTAAGGATGCTCCAGAATGTGTGAGGAACGGGTGTGGTGGTCGCAGACTCCACGATTCAGTGTTATACTCATCTAAAGAGCCTCGGCAACATATTCGAGCAGAATGTCGTTTGATTGCCACGTGAAAAGTCAGGTCCTGCAATTTTCATATTAGGGCTCTACGAAACTTTCGACCACTATTTCCGTCGTGACATACTGTAGCTAACACGTCAGTGTGTAGCATAGTACCGACAAGGCTCGATTATTGCAACTCACTACTCTACGGGACGTCTGGCAAAAACATTACCAAGCTGCAGCGTGTGCCACATTCTTTGGCACGTGTCGTGACGGGTACTCCAGGATCCGATCATGTCCGTCCTGTGCTCGCTGAGCTGCATCGGCTTTCGGTTGCCGAACGAATACACTATAAGGTCGGACTCATTACACACAAAGTGCTTGCCACAAATGAACCACAATACCTTGCTGATCTCATCAAGGAGCATAAGCCATCACGCGATCTCCGGTCATCCTAGCAGCGGCTTTTGAAGAGCCATCAAACAAATACAGTTACTGTATGGCGAGCATTGAGATGTGCTTCTGCGACCGTCTGGCTCGCTCTTTCTTCCGATATTAGAACGCCAATGAACATCTAGATTGAAAACTAAATTCTTAAACCAAATTTTTGTGGTTAGTTTATTGTCCTTGCCCCGCACTTCCGATTACTACGGTTGGCTATGTACGGTGTGAAAGAAGTTAAACAAACGTACATACCCTCATTCTCAGCTCTATCTTCACACTCAATCAGCACTATCCTCAAATGCTCGTACAGTACAAAGATGAACCTCACAGAGCTTCTCTCACTCACACTTTCCACACAGCTCCACACGGCTCCACTCGTACACGGCTCAGCACTCACATCTGGCTCTCAGACCCGACTGACACGTGTATCAAAACCTCACGTACAGCTCCACCCTCACGCGCCTTCTGTCGCCCCCCCCCCGCCCCCCATTCGACACAAGTGAGTTTGTGAGTGCTCGCGCATTGCCCGCTCCTCACTCCTGTTGAGGATCCGGAGCGTGCGGCCCGGATCTCCGCTTCGCTTCACCTCCCCCCAGAGAGCGGGGGCAGCGCTCGCGGCCATGACACCCCCACGACACGCGACGCCGATCACGTCCGGGTCACGTGGCGCCTTTCGCCTTCCGGGGTCAGGCAGATGTGACGTTGCGCGACACCTTGACACCACGTGGCCCGAAACGACAGGGTCATGGGTCACTCGTAAAGAGTGAGGAGGAGGAGCGTGGTGGTGACGGAGGAGGAGCGTGGTGATGACGGAGGAGGAGGAGCGTGGTGATGACGGAGGAGGAGGAGCGTGGTGATGACGGAGGTGGTGGATGAGGTGCTGACGGAGGTAGTGAGTGAGGTGGATATTTAGGCTATTTGTGTGCATTTTACATGCTGGTTTCTCAAAATATATGGGCACTGAAAGAGAGATGAGGGGATGGATAGAAAAAGAAACAAATAATTTTTGCGCAATTTCTCATAGGCGATTAGCATAAACATGTATGTGGGTGGAAAACTGCAGACCACAATAACAAAACACACAGACTTGGAACAGGTAGAGAGCATGCAAACTCCAGAAAAATGCCCCAGCCCAATATGAAACCCAGATATGTTAGTGAGTTGCAGGCGCTAACCACTCGATGTTTACAGGGGGTGAGTGATGTAGGCACTACAATATTGGGTCTTGGTGCAAACATTAATGACAGACAAAATATCACTCAGTAATGTCGGCATGAATAAATGATGCATGTTAAAGCAAGTTTGGGAAACAAATATGCGTATTGATTAAAATCGATTGTGAAATTGGTTTGCTCTTCGTTTGGATTCTGACCACCCCTTTCCCATTACCCCTGCCCTTTAAAACAGAGTTCTACCACCGACTGCAAGGTTGCCTTTGAGTTGTATCATATAAACATTTCTAACCTGTAATGGTACAATATGCAAATTGCAATAGTGTTAAAATATTGAGATTCATAACCAACCTCAAAAAAACATTTGAGATGTCCTTCATGGTGTTACTTTCTCCAACCTCACTCGCACAAAATGTTTTTGCATGGAATTGCCATGTTTGTGTACGTGCAGCAGCATGTGCGTACATGTTTTTGTTCAATTGCCAATCCCAAGCAACTGTATATGCACTTGGTAGAGCAATTCATGGAAAGTTCTCAACAGTATTTTTTTTCAAATATTTCCTTCCAGGGAGAATGCAGGGTATGTAGCCAGGACGGTTGTAGGTTAAGACTGCACAGCCTTTACAGCCAGGAAACTAGAAGACTGGCATTGCCTTGTTGATCCTGAAATCTTTAGTTGAATTGTTAAGGATATCATGTGGTTTCCTCATTTGCAGGACTACGTTTAAATGTGAGTACTTAATTCTGTGGAGAAAGTACAACCCCTTTGATCAGTGTGATATACCTACATGCGTATACTGTATAGCCTCCGATTAGCACGGTTGGCTACGTACGGCACGACAAAAAGTTAAACAAAAATACGGACAGCAAAACACGGTTAGTTACTCGTTAAAGATGATGCCGTTTCCTTGCAGAACTTTAGTGACCGAGGTCAGTGTTGCCTTGTTGCTCCTGAAATCGTGTGTATGGTCTCCTTGTGAAGTCGAGTTGTGGTATCCCATTCAGAATGAGTGACCGCATTGAGATTGGTGCTCGTTGTGCCACTACAGTATTAGGTTTCATCTTCTTTGGTTCTTTCGGTAAAGTCACGTAGAATGAGAATAAAATAATAAATTGATAAAATAACACAATAAAATTCTCACGACGTTATTGTGTTATTTTATTTGATCAATTTATTATTTTATTCTCATTCTACGTGACTTTACCGAAAGAACCAAAGAAGATTAATCCTTGCAGTCACGAAAGCTTTAAATCGAAAGTATTAGGTTTGTTTTCTCTGTTGTCTCTCTGCTTGTCTGTCTTTGTCTCCATGTCTGTGTCTTGCCTCTCTCTCTCATATTTTACACTTAAGTTCTAATTTAGCAATCTTTGGAAGAATGCAATCAACCAGGCTATGCGTTAATAGTATTGACCAACTCTGTGTTGCATTGCATTATATTTACAAATTTTACGAACTTTGTTTTTATTAAGTGTATTTTTCTCTCTCTATGTCTCCGTGTTGTCTCTCTAGTATTTCCTGCAGTTTGTTTTCTCTATCTCTGTTGTCTCTCTCTGCTTGTGTCTTTGTGTCTCCGTGTCTTGTCTCTCTCAAAAATGTCACACTTCTAATTTACAATCTTTTGAAGAACGTAATCAACCAGGCTATGCGTTAATTGCGTGTTGATCGACTCTGTGCTGCATTGCATTACATTTCCAAATTTTACTACGTTTGTTTGATTAAGTGTGTTTTCTCTGTGTGTGTGTCCTCGTGTTGTCGCTCTAGTATTTCCTGCAGTCACGAAAGCTCCAAATCTCTTATTGACATGCTATTTTATCTACCCCCCCCCCTCTCAATTTGGGGCCTCGACACAGAGGCGTTGTTTCTGTGTGCCAATGTGTGTCTGTGTATCTGTGTTATCGCTCTCTGCTTATGTCTGAGTGACAGTATCAGGTTGTCACATACCCCCGTGGTAATGCCATGAGTTTTGGTTTTTCATGCAACACAATGTTGCCTTGCTACCCCCGAAACCAGATGTAATGTGGTAATGAATTTCCCGTATTTTCCCGCATATAACCCACGTGGTATACCACTTTTTACAAACAAAACAAGACCCTGCGGGGTATATGGAGGTGCGGGCTATCTGAAATTTGTTTTACACAAAACGCTATTTTTGCGGGTTATATGCGTATGCGGGCTATATGCGGGCTATATGCGGGAATATACGGTAGTTGTGTCAGTTGGTAAGGGGTGATTGCCTCGGTAACGGTTTGTTTACACTTATGCATAATAGTGCGATGCCAGTTAATGGAGAAGTGTAATGTGTATTTTTATATAACCTTTTCGAAAACCCAAACGAGAAACAGGTACACCAGCAAATTACAATAAAAATGTTCATGAAAATTGGCGATTGCATTTTTAGCTGAGTTTAAAGGAGGAAGTAAATGTCATTTTATACGTATTCGAACATATGAAAATGCAAAATACCTCATTAAGAACCATGCCAATTTTCATGAAAATTGGTGATTACGTTTTTTAAATATAGCTATTTCAAAGTCATGACATCAACAAATCTAAGAATAAGATTTGAGATATCTGCGTGATAAATATTGCTTAAGTAATGTGTCAAACCTGGTCTTTTGAGACCCATTACTGATGTGGCAAAGAGGTACAAGTTTCACATTTTGGCTAATATACATGAAATTAAATGCGGTGCAGGATTTAACGTTTGATGTCATTTATTGACCTGTAATCAGCACAATACAAGCAAAATAGAACATGTATACAAAAAAATCGTGAAACACACGCAAAATGCACGCAAAGTGCACAAGAATATATATTGCCAATATAGACCAGACACAACAAGTATTAATTCCAAAATACAGTATTGGATACTGGAATGACCAGACCAGAAGTTTTTATGAGATTCTAAAGCAATGCATTGTTTTTATTTTCATTAAAACTGCCAGCATTTTCATGCAATGTCGCTGATAACTACATAGTGCAACATTTTGTACATTGATGTAATTGTACATACTTAAAAAATGGTTTATAGGCAAGGAAAATATATTACTACTGCACTTTTAAACATAACCATTAATTTATCAAACATGAAGGTGAATGGTGTTCAGTTCATTCGAACTGGTGTTGGGGCTCGTGTTTAACATGTAACAAACAATGCCCGCAATGAACAGTGCATTGAGAAAGCTTGAGAGAATTCTCAAGGTACAGCCCAAACGGGAAAAGTGGACTTTGTTAAGTTACACATCCACATTTAGGAAATATATTACGAGAGTTTTCAGTTATAATTCACTTTCCATGCACGGTTCCATGATGCTAAATAAACATTGACAATCTCCCTTGCATCATTCTGAACAGAGCAAAAGCAAGTGCACGGTCTTCAGCATTTTGTGTTCAGGGCCTCATTCAAGCTGTAGTTGTACAGAGTCCGGTTTAATTCCAAGCTGCTGTTGTCGCTGTTCATGTTTCCTTGCTGAAAGGGAATATTTAAATATTATTACATGGTTTCCCAGTTGTACAGTTTGGATTAATAGTGGATAAAACCGACATTGCCTTATCATTACAGTTTACCTGCAAAATAAAAATCACACGCTCAACTCATGAGAGGTGAATAACATATGCAGTGGACTTGTAAATCTATAAATAACATATCAATTGCCCATGACGTTCGGTAACATAAATGCCCATTTCTCCTTGTAAATGTATTTAAAAAGTGCATTTTATAACGAAACTAGCTTTTTTGTCCGTCCAAGGACGGGTGTATATTGCAGTAAATCTGTTCAGCTCATTATTAATGAGGGGGTTGCCCCATGTGGAGTGACGTCACCTGCTAATGGTTATTGGGGAGGGGTGCGGCATGTGGAGTGACGTCACCCCCTCATGGTTATTAATGAGGGGAGGGGTGCGGCATGTGGAGTGCGCAACCTTGTGCGTTCGTGTAAATTTCCACGCGGGCATGAATATTAATGAAGAGGGGGGGGGCCTCTTTTGCAGTGACGTCACGCACGGATTTCGCACTGTGCTGCGTAGATTTATTTTTTACCAACACTTTCTGTAAAGAAACGTCATATTTGAAGCGACTTTGCGTAATAAATGATTTAATTCACCTCGACCTTCTGCGTTAGTGTAAAAATACACCCACTCATGAATATTAATGAGGGGGGGGGGGTGGACCTCATGTGGAGTGACGTCACACGCGGGACGGACATTTCTGGGTGATTATAGTAGGTAATGATCAACAATGCCTCAAAATTATAAGGAGCATGCAATGTGCCATAACATGAACCAAGATTAAAAAAACAATATTACATTACTGATAACGGTGCGATAATTTGTCTTATATATGTATTGTCCAGTAGAATATTAAAAGACTATGTGCCTCTGCAACTTGTTTATAACATTTAATAACTGCTGCTGCTACATCCATCATCACCAAATGTAAAACAGTGAAAAGTGATCTCAAATGAGCATAGAGGTAAGTGTGTACAGTAAAACCTTGGATTGCGAGTAACTTGGTCTACGAGTGTTTTGCAAGACGAGCAATTTTTTTTTTATAAATATTTATTTGATAAACGAGCGAGGTCTTGCAATACGAGTAGTATGTATACGCTTTGTCTGCCGAGCGTCACGTGATCACAACTGATATACGAGTGCTTTGGATTACAAACAAGTTTCCGGAACGAATTATGCTCGCAATCCAAGGTTTTACTGTATTCCTATAGTGGGGGTAATTCTCTCCAAAGGACAACCACTGTTGACTTCCCCACAAAGATGATGGGCTGAATCAACCTCCAACTAGGATTTTATCTTGCAACCTTCAGACTGCAAGTTGTCTGCACTACAGCTGAGCCACCTGGCTCTTCAAGCTGTCAAATAATCCAAGGTTTTATCATCAGATGTGTTGGATCACGTAAAAAAATGAACGTCAAATTAATGTTCAGTTTGGTGTTGAATGTAAGCCAATTGTCGAAATATTGCAATAATTGTGGAAGTGCATTCCAAAGTTTTGAATCAATGTGGGAAAAAATCCTGTTAGATTTTACACATAGTACCCTAATTGCTGATGTGAGGACATGGGTCTCTGGAGCATCAGCATTACATACGATAAGCATGATTTCATTAATACACTGACTAACATCCACAACATGCCACCAGGACACAAATGGTCAATTTGGTGTACAATGGTCTGCCCAAGACTTTAGCATTAGTATTTTAAATCAATCGCAAATGGTTACACACGTTGAATCCAACTAATTTGCTTACATGTGTACTTACGATATCCGGGGGTAGAAATACTAAGTTCGTGTTAGGATGACATCACGAGGAAAAGGAGAGAGGTGGGGCGAGAGACAGAGGGAGCGCCCAGAGAGAGAGGCAGGGCGATCGGGGCACTTCTTGGAGGGAATCGGAGTTGGGTGGACGCGCACGGCGTGAGCTCGAAATAAAGAAAAGTGTCGACTCTCGATCTTCGTCTGGTGGACTCTCTACACATGTAAAAAGACCGGCTTGTGCATGAATTTAATAAGAACAAACCATGTGGTCCTTTTTCGTTAGAGCTAGTTGTCAGTGATGGAAATGAAACCCTTACCACTCTACGATGAATGTGCGAGCTGCTTTCTCAAAAGTGTTTAAAGCCTTACTGATCAATGTCCAACGGTGACACAATGTAGGTGAAGGGATCAGGCCACTTACACATGTAGTACATCTCGAGCTGCTGTCTGAGTCGCACCGTCTGGAGGTCACTGAGGAAGGCATCCTCTTGTCCACGGTCAGCACTTGGGGGCATTCCAAATATCCTCTGAATTTTGCGCCGATTGCTGTAAAAAGTTAACCATGTTTGCATTGCTGCGCTGCACAACACGCAATGTATAAAAAGACCATTTATCCAATGTGTTAATTTTTGCAGTTCATACCTTCAAGGCAAAAAGTTATGTGCTCATACCCCACCTGATAGCTCATTGGAGTCCACGGCTCATAATTAGAAGGTTTTCGAGTTAAAATCCTGGTTTAGAGTTGAGTCGGCCTATCATCCCTCCGGGATCGATAAAATAAATACCACTTTGTGGGGCAACAGTAGTTGTCATATGGGGAGACTCATCTCTACCATGAAATTTCCACCATGAGCCCAGGGCTGTAAACAGATGATCACTGCCTCAATGCTCATTTTGAGCAGGAAATCACTTTGACATCAAGCGTGTTCGTGTCCTGCCTCCTCGTACGTGGGAAACATCCATTATGCGATGTGCTGCTAACGTACATTGCCATTCCACTGCCAACACCCACTCACAGGGAAGGGACGATTGAACACATTACACCTTTTCAAATAAAATGTCTGCATCACATACACAAAACATATCTTCCAAGTGAGCGATTTGTGCTTTCCAAAACTCAACTTTTCAAAATATCTGAATCCCAAAGTCCAACCCTATAGCAGACTACAGCACTCGGCACAATTCTCACAACTGCTCACTTTCATGAGGTCACCACAAGCCACAACCTTGGCATTCACATTTGCTTGCTCATATATAATCTGGAGCCCTCTGTCTTCAGATCACAGCCCAGAGTCGAGAGCCATGGAACTTGCAAATTTGACAATCCTAGTTTTGAAGTCAAACCTGGTGAAACAATGTAATTGAAACGTATCTATTGACACAAGCAGCTTATTTTTCAGAAGCCATATGAGCCATATGGGGCGTAGCGGTGGCGAGATGTTAACGCCCTCGCCTGGTATGCAGGAGTTCGCGCGTTCGATCCCGACCCTGACGCCTTCTGTATATTTAGAGTTTCCATGTTCTGTCTTCCCCTTGATTGCATAGATTTTTCTCCAGGTCCTCCAGTTTTTCCCTCAACATTTAGCAACATGCGTTTAGAATATTCGGCTGCTTTAAAGCACCACTTGATAAACCACATTGTTGAGCTATCATTTGTGGCCATGTCGCTTCTGAAAAAGACCTATATAGTTCAGGGCGCCTAACCTTGTAAAATAACGGGGTTTTTTGTTTATAGTTTTATAACTGGTGCGGTGGGTGGCTGTTGCAGTGCAGTGACCCTGCCTGAATTCTTACTCTGCCGAGTTTTCACGAGGCATTGTTCTGCGAGACAGGCTGTTCACGTATGAACATTTTCCAGAATTTGTGACAATGCAAATTTTAAAAAAATTGGTCTGTAAGTAGTTGAATGGTTTGTTGTGGCTAAACCTTGACCTACTATCAATCATTAGGAAGCGTGTTTTAAATTAAAGTGATGTCTTGCTGAATTTACCTGATGAGCCTTCTACCTGCCAATTTCATGTTTGGTTGCGTACTCTCCATGTGCAAATGAATTCAGGAAGGCTTGAAGCTGCTTTGCCGTACAAGAGACTTAAGGGTCAAAAGTTTGGCTCCGGTATGCGTCCACCAAGAGGTCAATGCGTCCATAACCAAAGAGCTGTAGCAGCATGGGAGTCCACTCACCAACACGCATACAACCAGGAATCCCGCCGCTATGGGGTCCATTGATATCGCTCCACCGTGAAGATGCACTGACCGGCGCGGTGCGGACACAAGGAGCTCCACCGCGAGTTGCCACCTGTCCCGGTTTCACCCGAATGTGGAATTTTGTGTTTGGATGGCAGAAATGAAGTGTATTACCGTTTCCTGTTGTAGTCTTGCATGTGGAAATATGTTCCGGAACTAAACGCCAATACAGTTTAACGCAGTGTTGATAGCCCCACGCTGGCGGCCATATGTCCGGGTTTGGTCTCCAATGGTGAAGGTGGCAACCCGAGGCCCCACCCACCAAAACAAAATACACCGAGAGCTCCACGCGTCCGAGCAGGAAGCCTCCCTCACCCCTGCGAGGGTGAGAACCGACTCACCGGCGCGCGTACACCAGAAGCCCCACGCTGGCGAGCGCCGCCACCAGGTAGACGTTCGTGGCCTCGGTCCACGCCTCGTGCACGGAGTAGTCGAGCCCCGCCGCCTCCATTGTCGCCTCCGAGAGCCCACTGAGGCCGGCCCTTGCGATTGGCCGCGATTCTGGGTGACGTCACGCGGGTTCAACAACGTCGCCTGCGATTGGACACCTCGCGCGTGTGACGTCCTCGGTGCGCGTTCCCAAATCGGCCGCCTCGAGTTCGGTGGTGGGGCACAGCGCTCCCCTCTCTCCTGTCCACCCTCTCCACCCCCTCTCTCCTGCTCCATCTCCTCTCTCCCTCTGACCCCCTCTCGCCTGTCCACCCTCTCTCCTGCTTCATCTCCTCTCTCCCTCTCCACCCCCTCTCTCCTGCTCCACAACCCTCTTTGCTATGCCGGAGCCCCATGCCATGGAGCAGCACTTCAGGGCCCACAGCCGCGTGAAGGAGTTCACCGCGCACGGGGCCAAGGTTCACTCCGTAGCGTGGAGCTGCGACGGGAGGCGTCTCGCGTCCGGCTCCTTCGACAAAACCGCGAGCGTCTTCCTGCTTGACAAGGACCGCATGGTACCTCTCTCTCTCTGCCTCTGCAGAGCCGTCACGCAGTGGTAAACACTTCTTCACAGCAAGACCTGGGTTCGATTCCTGACTGGGGGGGGGCGTACAGTGTGGTGTTTATACTGGATTTTCTTTCAGTTATTTGTTTACCTTTTCCTATACTTAGCACTCCTGACGTGTTTTGTATTGTTATAACGTTGTGACCCGCCCCTACTGGACGTCTGAAAAGGAGCTTTATAGCTCATCGGATTCTTCCAGTAGAAAATATTCTGATTCTGTATGTTCTCCCACTGCTCTACATGGGGTTCCTCCGTGTTCTCCGAATTCTTCCCAAAGCTAAAATAAAAATAAAGTCACTGGTGTTGGCCTAAACATGCCAGTGCTTGAAATTTACCTGCAAATTATACCGGAATATTAAACTATTTTTTTTTTACCAGGTAAGGCGCACTGAGCTAGATAGCTCTTTTTCAGAAGCGACCTGGCCACGAATGATAGCTCAATGATGTGGCTTATCATGTGAAATGTGTTGCAGTCAAATACTCTAAAACGCGTGATTCTAAATGTGGAGGAAACACCGGAGGACACGGAGTAAAATCAACACGACCACGGGGAGAGACATGCAGACTCCAAATATACAGCAGGCGTCAGGGTGGGAATCGAACCCACGAACTCCTAGGTACCAGGCGAGGTAGTTAAAATCTCGCCACCGTGACGCCCGTACATATGACATTACCTCCTTACTGCGAAAACTTGCCAGGACCACCCTGAAAAAGTCTTGAGACTTAATGAGTCTTTCCTGGGTAAACAAGTGAAATAAAATATTTCGTATATAGCACAGCAATGGGAAATCAACGGTGGTTGTCCTATGGAGAGATGTCCCAACCATAGGAATGTGGCATTCCCAAAACTGGCTTAGGGCTGTAAACAGGAGATGGTTTGCTCCGGTTTGCTTTGTTGCTGTACTTATTTTGTTCTTGCGTTTGTGATTTTTCTGACCGACATAACTTTTCCAAGAAATTCGCCAGGTCTCTTGTTGAATTCTCACCTGGTTAAATGAAATAACCAGGTCGAGGGCGATCTGGCATCACAAATGGAGGCGAGTTTTGGCTGCGACTCTTCTGTGCAAATGCACGCTGCTGTTGTGCAGGTGAAGGAGAATAACTACCGTGGACACGGAGACAGCGTGGACCAGCTGTGCTGGCACCCCCTCAACCCGGAGTTGTTCGTCACAGCCTCCGGAGACAAGACAGTGCGAATTTGGGACGTGCGCAGTAACAAGTGTGCGGCGACTGTCAACACCAAAGGTGAGGCACACGTCCACTCCTCTCCTGCACTTCAGTTGGCTTTTACATCATCATCCCACATGCACAGTTTGTTTTGCCGATCTCATCTCTGTTTTCGTTCTATCAGCTGCCACTCCCATCATTAGTATTCAACCATCGGCCATTATCCTTTTAAAATATACACAAGGAGGGAATTGCATTTTTTTAATGTACAAGAAAAATAAAATTTATAACCGGTATATCTTCATTTACAAAGACTGATGTGGTACACATGGGAGGTTAAAATAGAGCTGGTGGAACAAGTGTATGCTGCGAGCAGTCGGTACACTGTTGTGTAAAATAACTACGTCCTTATTCAGGGTATGATCACTGAGTCCCAACAGTTCGTTTTTTTTATTCTGAGATATATCGCTTTGGGATGTTTGGTCAAGTTCTGAATGGGTATATGTTTTGTACTAATGTGTGGGCCTTTTTGTTTCAGGAGAAAATATAAACATTTGCTGGAGTCCAGATGGTCAGACAATTGCTGTCGGTAATAAGGAAGATGTTGTAACTTTCATCGATGCCAAGAATTACAAGACAAAAGCTGAAGAGCAATTTAAGTTTGAAGTCAACGAAATTTCTTGGAACAATGACAATGATCTCTTTTTTCTCACCAACGGCAATGGCTGTATTAGCATAATGAGGTGAGGTCTATTCTGATTTCTGCAAATAACATGGTTTGCACACAGCATTATGTTTCGTGTAAAAACGCCTCCTGATATATTTTTGTATTTCCAGCTACCCTGAACTGAAACCCATCCAATCAATTAATGCCCACCCTTCCAACTGCATCTGCATCAAGTTTGACCCGACAGGAAAGTACTTCGCAACAGGCAGTGCGGATGCACTGGTGAGCCTGTGGGATGCCAATGAGCTAACCTGTGTTCGCTGCCTCTCCAGGTGAGAATGAACTAATGTCACACAAAATAACGGCGTCTTTGTGGAGAACAGAAGTCACAAAATAAACATGCAAACAATATTACTCATCTGTCCCCATAAACCAGTTTTTTTGACAGTGCAGAGTGAGTGCATGAAGCGGGGGGGGGGTATGTAATATGACCCAGTGCTAATGTCTTCGCCGATTATTGCACAGGTTCTTGGTTCGCATCCAGTTGGCCGCCCTGGTTATTACTGCGGATGTATTAGCCGTAAAATTTGTGCTGTCTGTTCGCACACAGTTGACATTAAAGATCAGATGACATTCAAAACAAACGTGACATTGTGTGCTGGCGTCATCGTCCATTCTATAAATTGCGCGCAAATTACTCGCACACAGCAATGATCACTTGCTACTGAGATTAATGCCCAATTGCAGGCCTGGTGTTGAGTCACCTTGTACCCACGGACAGCTGCCACTGGGGGAGGGGTGCCCTTCCAAATGTTTCGGATGAGATGTGATGCAAGTGACTATTATTAATATATGGATGTTCCTACATCAGCTGTTGGCACCATCTTCTCCGTCTCCTTATGTTGACTTGTTGCTGCCGATTTCCAGGCTGGACTGGCCAGTACGGACACTCAGCTTCAGCCACGATGGAAAGATGCTGGCCTCTGCTTCCGAGGATCACTTCATTGATATCGCAGACGTGGACACTGGTATAAATATTTTTTATAACTTGTTACCACTGTAATGCAACAGCCATCTCTGAGCCTGGGAGAGAGTAGAATGGCTTGGGAAATTATGAAGCCCACAAATGCACGATTGCAGGTGCTTCTGCATTATCTTCACTGCTAACAGGCACTTGGTCTGTCAGACACGACATCTACACAGATATTGGTGAGATTTTCGGCATAGGCTGATAACACTGTGCAATGTGTGCCTACAGGTGAAAAATTATGGGAGGTGCACTGTGACTCTCCCACGTTCACGGTCGCTTGGCATCCGAAGCGACCTCTGCTGGCCTTCGCTTGCGATGACAAAGATGGGAAATATGACAACAGTCGAGATGCTGGAACCGTCAAGCTCTTTGGATTGCCCAATGAGTCCTGAACAACAGATTACAGCATATGGCCTTTCACACGACAGCTGCAACACAAACTGAAAACAATGTTCAGTGGTGGGGGGGGGGAGTAAAAGAAAAAAACAAGTCGAATTCCATGGTTATGCAAGTCTGCAGTATGGAAAGCAAACTAGTATTTTTGACAATTCGTGTGTAGAAGACAATGGGATATTGTCAAGAAATTGGTTTGGTTATTTGATTTTTACATACGCGTTTTATTGATGTTATAAAAATAAATCTTTTTCCAAATAAAGTGGTGTAATCATTTGGTGTATAAGCAAGAGGAGGGTGCTGTCCTGCAACTGATTGGCCTCCAATAGAGATGGTTAAAATGACCGAGCTCTGTTCCGTGGAAATGATGGGACACGTGCACACGAGATGATCCACCATCAGAAATTATACAGGTGAAATATTTAAATGAAAAATCACAAATATACCAACTACGCTGGAAAAATCTAAACGTTAAAAATGTTAACTTCTGATCTATTCAATAGTTCAATCGTTTCTCAAAACGTGTCTGTGGTCAAACATGGGGGGAGCAGGAGTGGTAGCGGTTAGCGCGCTGAGCTACGAACCTGGCGATCCGAGTTCGATTCCCGCTCACGGTCAACACCAGTGATTATCTGAACCAGTTCCGGACCTCCCGTAGGTCGACTAGGCCTCAAATGAATACCGGGTGCGGTGTGCAGTTAACATCGCCACCATGGGTGGAGTTTGAGGGGGGACAATGCGCCTCCCAAACTTTACACCTTAATTATTTTTAAGTAAATCTTGACTTGAAGCTTTCGTGACTGCAGGAATTCATACTCGTTGGGTCTTTCGGTAAAGTCACGTAAATATAAAAATAAATATATAATGAAAATCAAGACATTTCGATCACAACACAAGTAATCGTCCTCAGGTGAATTTTTTTTTCTATCTACAGTGAGGGAAAAAAATATTTGATCCCCTGCTGATTTTGTACGTTTGCCCACTGACAAAGAAATGATCAGTCTATAACTTTAATGGTAGGTGTATTTGAACAGTGAGAGAATTAAAAAAAATCCAGAAAAACGCATGTCAAAAATGTTATAAATTGATTTTCACTCCTCTTTGCAGATCTCCAAGTCATTAAGGTTCGAGGCTGACGTTTGGCAACTCGAACCTTCAGCTCCCTCAGATTTTATATGGGATTAAGGTCTGGAGACTGGCTAGGCCACTCCAGGACCTTAATGTGCTTTTTTCTTGAGCCACTCCTTTGTTGCCTTGGCCGTGTGTTTTATGTCATTGTCATACTGGAATACCCATCCACGACCCATTTTCAATGCCCTGGCTGAGGGAAGGAGGTTCTCACCCAAGATTTGATGGTACATGGCCCCGTCCATCGTCCCTTTGATGCGGTGAAGTTGTCCTGTCCCCTTAGAAAAACAACCCCAAAGCATAATGTTTCCACCTCCATGTTTGACGGTGGGGATGGTGTTCTTGGGGTCATAGGCAGCATTCCTCCTCCAAACACGGCGAGTTGAGTTGATGCCAAAGAGCTCCATTTTGGTCTCATCTGACGACAACACTTTCACCCAGTTGTCCTCTGAATCATTCAGATGTTCATTGGCAAACTTCAGACGGGCATGTGTATGTGCTTTCTTAAGCAGGGGGACCTTGCGGGCGCTGCAGGATTTCAGTCCTTCACGGCGTAGTGTGTTACCAATTGTTTTCTTGGTGACTATGGTCCCAGCTGCCTTGAGATCATTGACAAGATCCTCCCGTGTAGTTCTGGGCTGATTCCTCACCGTTCTCATGATCATTGCAACTCCACGAGGTGAGGTCTTGCATAGAGCCCCAGGCCGAGGGAGATTAACAGTTCTTTCGTGTTTCTTCCATTTGCGAATATTCGCACCAACTGTTGTCACCTCACCAAGCTGCTTGGCAATGGTCTTGTAGCCCATTCCAGGCTTGTGTAGGTCTACAATCTTGTCCCTGACATCCTTGGAGAGCTCTTTGGTCTTGGCCATGGTGGAGAGTTTGGAATCTGATCGATTGCTTCTGTGGACAGGTGTCTTTTATACAGGTAACAAGCTGAGATTAGGAGCACTCACTTTAAGAGTGTGCTCCTAATCTCAGCTCGTTACCTGTACCAAAGACACCTGGGAGCCAGAAATCTTTCTGATTGAGAGGGGGTCAAATACTTATTTCCCTCATTAAAATACAAATCAATTTATAACATTTTTGACATGCGTTTTTCTGGATTTTGTTGTTATTCTGTCTCTCACTGTTCAAATAAACCTACCATTAAAATTATAGACTGATAATTTGTCAGTGGGCAAACGTACAAAATCAGCAGGGGATCAAATACTTTTTTTCCCTCACTGTACGTGACTTTACCGAAAGACCCAAATAGTATTTTTTGTAGTAGTTTACCATTAAGATAAAACATTTATTTTATGCACCCGTGATTCCTCATGTGAGGGACAGAGCGAGCCCCTGCACCCCCCAATATTGAAGTCAAACTCCGCCTGTGATCGCCACTTAAGAGAGACAAAGGCGACCAGGCGTGGTGCAGGCCATCCGCCCTCTCGTGTGGTGTGCGTGCCGGCTCTTCATAGGCGCTGCTCGCTAACAGCACTTGCCCAAAGTCTGTTAAGGCTATGGGGGGATCTTTGGTAAATAAAACCACGCTACTGCACCGGTGTCTCATGCCTGTCAACCTAAACGGTTTGCCCCGTAGTTTTGTCCATGGAAATTGAGTGCTCGAGTCCATACGGCGTACAGCCGTTTCAATACGGGCAAAACAAACTATTTACGTTTTCTCCCTTGTGATGGGACGTTGTAGGATGAACGTTGAGATTTATAAGGGCACGTGGTGACCAATAAGGTCTGAATTGGCCTGTAATAAGGGCTGCGAAGGAAACCCAAGAAGGCGATCGGCGCTCGATGGCTCCACCTGCCGTGCGGCGGCGGCGGCAGCGGCCTCCGGGAAGCGCCCACTCAGCGCGTCGCGTCCACAGCCGTCGGGATTATTAGTTAGTCCAACGTCGGCACACAGCTGAAGGCTCCAATCGAGTTTATCAGACCGTCGCCGTCCGTCACCACCGTGACCCCAGTCGGGCGGGTACGCTCCACGCCGTGTCTGGGCGTCGCACGGCGCGATTATTCAGCCGCAGCAGCCGCTGCCGCAGCAGCCGCAGGCCATGTCCGTGCGGTCCGTCTCGGCCCAGGATCTGCAGGAGCTTTTGTTGTCGGGGCTGTGAGTGCAAACTTCTAACCGCCGTCGCCACAACTCTCTCCAACACCCTAAACCTTAAACACCCTCGAACAGAGGGTCCTATGTATTCTCAAAGCCGGGCCTCAGGTCCCGCTTACCATAGAGTATAAGGCCACCAAACAGAGCTGTGGGGCCTGTGGGGCCTGTGGCGCCCTGAAACACAGGCAGGCCCGTAGCTCTGCCGGTGACCACCCCGGGGTGAAGGCGCTTTACCCCTGCGAGGCGGTCTTCTGCAGCCTCTGCCCCCTTGTCCTCCTTTCGCGTGGTGCAGGCCCCACGTCGTGGTGCATTTCTGGGCAACATGGGCCCCGCAGTGCGCGCAGATGAACGACGTGATGGAGGAGCTCGCCACGGAGCACCCGGCCGTCTCCTTCGTGAAGGTGACGCTCAGCCTCTCCGCTCCAAGCTACCTCCATTGACTTCACGGCAACTGTGGTGGGCACGGATGTTTCTCACGTCTCCATACCCCACCCACCCCGTGTAGCTGGAGGCCGAGGCCGTACCGGAGCTGGCGCTCAAGCACAACGTGAAAGCCGTGCCCACCTTCATCTTCTTCAAGGTAACAGTGCGGGCACTCGCGCGATGCACTCCCATGGCACGCAGAAGTCCTTGTTGCTCCACTCGCACGGCGGTGCGGTCGTGGAGCAAGCGTCGTGTTCGTGTGTGTGTGGGGGGTGAGCAGGCCGGCCAGCCCGTGGAGCGGCTGGACGGAGCTCACGCCCCAGAGTTGGTGAAGAAAGTCCAGCAGCTGGCCGCGTCCCTGCCCCACGCTACTCCCACCACCACCGCCGTGGCAAAGGTGCCCAGTGCCGATCTCAAGGAGCGCCTCCACACGCTGGTCCGTGCAGCGCCATGCATGCTGTTTATGAAGGGCACGTCAAAGGAGCCGCGATGTGGTAAGTGGGGCAGCCCCCCACACAGACAACATCCCCCTATATCGCCTTTCACACACTGTTGGGACGAGTGTTGTTGGCCGGAGTCTAAAATGCCGGCACGGGTAACCAACGCCACGCCCGGCCGAATTTGCTTCACAGTGCCGATGTGTCCACAACGCGACGCGCTACGTACTCTTTTAAGGGCTGAGTTAAACTCAAGAGATGGCAGGAAAACAAACTCGGGGTCACCGGGTTTATAGTGCAGTGCCCTAACGACTACACTGCCACACACACACCTTGAACAAAGTTATGCCCAGAAAAATTCCGCCAACAGCCGTCTCCTGTTCACTGGGCACGCAGGTTTCAGTCGGCAGACGGTGGAAATCCTAAACCGACACGGAGTAAAGTTCAGCAGCTTTGACATTCTCTCTGATGAGGCGGTACGACAGGGCCTAAAGGAGTTTTCCAACTGGCCTACCTACCCCCAGCTGTACGTGAACGGAGATCTCATAGGAGGTCTCGATATCATCAAGGTGAGCCCAGGGGTGGGTGGTAATCACATTAACGGTGACCACATGTGGAAGCTGGCACTTATCCGGACCGGGGTGACAGGACGGGGGGAAAATGAGTCCTGAGACAGACATTGAAGTGGTCTCCACGTGGTCCAGTAACCAAGGGCAGGACATCAGACCAGATGGTGGGAGACTGTTATGACTGATTTTGGGTCTGATAGATAATAGCGTTTGTGAAGTGTCGTGGCATCAACGTGTTTGACCATGATGACATTTTGATCTTAATTTGGCACGAGGAGTGGCTAGAGGCGCCGGCAAGACATAAAAGTACTGGTGGTAGGAATACGTGCAGCCTGACAAAGTAAACTAGCCGATAAATGTGAACCGTTTCACCCAGTATTGGTATTGTCACAAGGAATTTGTATAGCAAGTATAATATGTGATAATAGGTTTTCCCCCTTTTTGCTGGCAACAAAACAGGTGTTAAGATGTTAAAACAGCAAACTGAAACCTTTTACAAGGAATAATGTCTGCATTAACCATAATGCTTGTGGTCAGAATGCAAACAAAAAAACATACCCTGATAATATATGCATTGTCCTTGAAACTGATTCGTCCACACCAGAGACAGCTTTCTTTTGAGCCTTGTCTCAAACGGTGTTAGACCACGCCAAAAGGCGTACAGCCAAAAGACAATGCACTATCAGAGTAATGAGACCTCCTTTGCCAATACCAAAATATAATAGGTTTTCCCCTTTTTTTGGCACCTGTTTTGTTGCCAGAAAAAAATAGGAAAACCCTATTATATTTTGGTACTGGCAAAGGTCCCATGATGTCGATGCTTACGCCGAGCTCTCATTACTCTGATAGTGCATTGTCTTTGGGCGGTACGCCTTTTGGCGTCCTCTGGTCCTAACACCGTTTGAGACGAGGCTCAAAAGAAAGCTGTCTCTGGTGTGGACCAATCAGTTTCAAGGACAATGCATATATTATCAGTGTTTTTTTGTTTGCATTCTGGCCACAAGCATTGTGGTTAATGCAGACATATTGCCTTGTAAAAGGTTTCAGTTTGCTGTTTTAACATCTTAACACCTGTTTTGTTACCAGAAAAAGGGGGAAAACCTATTATTATATTTTGGTACTGGCAAAGGAGGTCCCAGGAATTAAATATGTATTAACACATAGGCTTTCGTAACTAATATTGTCCATAACAGGTTTTTGGGTTAGATTGCGTAAATATAACTGTCGTTAAACCTGCCACCACCACCAAACACGGTAAATGTTGTGAGTTTACTCTCCAACACACAAATGTGCTGAACTAGTAACAAATTGGCATGTTTTGTTTACATGACAAACCTTACTAACGAGCCTTTTGTCCGCCCAATGACGGGTGTATTGCAGTAAATCTGGAACTTGCAAGCGAAAAGCAGATTGCGACGTAATATTGCATCCATTCATGTGCAATTTGTAAGGCCGCGATGACAGACTTACTTCATTTAAAGGTTATAATCCCTTGTTCATCATGACGTCCTTTTTACTTCTATGTTTCAATGGCGTTACGGAGATCGCGTGATGTGAGGGTTCTGCTTTTGTAGTGAGGGTTATAAGTTGACGCTGAGGGGGGAGTAGGCGCCTCGCCCCCCCATGTGGAGTGATGTCATCTGCTCATGGTTATTAATGAGGCGGTGGGTTCTCCATGCGGAGTGACTGCACCCGCTCATTATTGAGGGGGACTCGTCGATGTGGAGTGACATCACGCACAGGACAGACATTAACTCATTATAGTAGTGTACTAAAGCACTTCCACGACGAACGTTGACTGGTATCTTTTATTAACGGCTGCACAGCTCCGCTCCCTCTCTCCAGATGGCTTACGTCTCTCTCTGTTGCTGTAACGTGCGCTTTCCCCCTTCCACCATCGCGGCGCGTCTCTCTTTCCACACCCGCCGCTGGCTGGCGGCGCGCTGAAGGGAGAGAAGGCTTGGCTGGCAGAGGCCACCACGTGGCCGGTAGTGAGTCGAGGTAGGCGATGAAGCAGTCCGGACTCCAGGCTTCCCACACCGACCCCGAGTCCTCTCACTGCCTCTCCTTATATTGCCCTTGGTGGAGCTAAGCCCCGCCTCTAGCCACGCCCCTTCATGGACCCTTAGCCTCATTGGATATTCGTTACCCAGCAGTGACGATGCAGTTATCCCTCGGCGTCCCAGAGATGGCGCTCTCTCATTACAGTAGTAAATTGGCTGTCGGGTGGTAGCGGGTTTAACGACATTTACAGCGATCTAACCCAAAAACCTCTTATGGATAAATGTACTGTTTTCATAGGAGCTGGCAGAGACTGGAGAGTTGGACAAGATGTTCCCCAAGGAAGAAAGCTTAGAGGACAGGTAATGTTTTTAATTCAGAACAAAATAACGGCAGTGAAGCTTGACTGAACTCCTGACAGGTCATTAACACTTGTTTCTTTTTTCTTTTCTAGGCTTAAATCTTTTATAAACAAGGCCCCAGTTATGTTGTTCATGAAAGGAAATAAAGAGGTAAGCGAGTGTAGTGCATACAGTGTATACTTTTAAAATTCAAAGCAGGCTGGCCACACTTTAATCTAAATTTCCACTGCCTGTTACAGACACCCCGCTGTGGGTTCAGTCGGAGTATTGTGAACATTCTCAATGACACTGGGTAAGTCGAAGGAATGAGGGGTGCACATACGAATGCCAACACTACAACACTGGTCTCTATGAATCAGCATTGTTAAAACATGTCCTTTTGTCCAGGGTGAAGTATGAAACTTTCGATATACTTCAAGATGAGGAGGTATGTGCAAGAACACACTTTAAGCAACAGTACTCTGTTACTTTGTCAACTCTTCACATTTGGAGAAGTATCCCAAGTGGCCATGCCAACAGTCCCCCATTTTCTGTTCAGGTTCGGCAGGGCCTGAAGACCTTTTCAAACTGGCCAACCTACCCCCAGCTATATGCATACGGTGAACTGGTCGGAGGATTGGACATTGTTAAGGTGTGGTTTTTTTTGTCTAATCTCTCTTGCATGCTGCTCGGCTTCCGAAGTCTAAATTCAGTTTAAATTAAGTGCATTAAGGATAGGACACACACTGGCTCTCAACTTTAGTAGACTATTTTCATACTTCTCTATCAGTCTGGCCCTCCCAACTGTCGTGCGTTCCCATATTGCATTTTACCCCCTTATGCCATGCTACTATATTAATGAAGCTCTTCATGTGCTCAGACCTTTAACTCTTCCCCTCTTTTGATGCTTTGTTGTAGGAACTGCTGGAGTCTGGGGAGCTCCTGTCCACCTTGCAAGCCCCAAAATAGAAGATAAAACGGAATACTTCCACACAGAGGGAGGCCGCATGGGGGCGGATTCGACTCGCAAACCTCAGCTCTACACACGCATGTAAACGACAGTAATATTCACTGTCTTTAGGGGGATGTATTGTATGGTGCCCTTTGGGAATGGATATTAAATGCACATTGGTCTGTCATTGCAAGATGTTAATAAAAGGCTTACTGATTGTCCTTGCATGGTCTGGATTATGCAATTGCTGCCAGCTGAGGTATGTACGCTGAACTTCTTTCACACCATACGTAGCCAACCGTGCTAATTAGAGGTGCAGGTTTGATTGCAGTGTGCACACTTCCAGATTCTCTCGAGAAATTCCCTTGCAAAATTTGTTCTGCATAGCTACTAATGCTTGCTGTGCCATTCTCTTTGAATGGCACTTCCCACTGAGTAAGCACATACAAGCAGGAGGTTTGTGTTTTAATAAAAACTTGAAAAAGGAAAAATTATTGCAAATGACAAGACACTCCTACTTAAAACACAACACAAAAAACTGCAATGCAATACAGAATAACCACATTGGTACTAACAAAAAATATTTTCACAGCATTCATGCATATACATGGCTCATAAAAAAGGACATGGTAAGCTGTCGGGGTGATTCGGTGGCGAGATGTTAACTACCTCGCCCGGTATACATGAAGTCGTGGGTTCGATCCTAACCCCGACGCCTGTATATTTGGAGTTTGCATGTTCTCTCCGTGGTCGTGTGGATTTTTCTCCGGGTCCTCCAGTTTTTTTCCTCCACATTTAGAATCATGCTTTTATTTGGCTGCTATACATTTCCACATAAGCCACTTCGTTATCATTTGTGGCCAGGTTGCTTCTGAAAAAGAGCTATGTAGCTCAGTGGGCCTTACTTGGTGAAATGACAAGTTTTAAGTTTCAAAATGTAAAAAATATGTATCACGTGCCGGGTCATAGTCTGAACTCACCAGGCAGTATACAGCAGTCGGTCAGACTGTGCAGGCAGTAATGGTCATGAAGAATGAATCAAGGTAGCTGCCATGCACATAAGCCTACACTGGGCTTGACGCTATGGCCAACAAGTATACCTTCTGGGTATGCAATACCTTCAGAATGATACAGTGTGGGCTGTGAGCTCATGCCAGCGTCCAAGATTTGCATGTGCAAATCGACTTGGTGCAACACCCATGATAACCGTGTGCAATTGTGCCAAGGTGCAGAACGTCACATTTGAGTTTTCCCTGCAAAGCCAATTGGCTGCGCTCAAATGGACGAAATGTGGCTGTGGCTGCATTGATTCTGCTCATCTCTACTTAGCCTGCACAGTAACGTCATGTCAACTGCCTTAACAGTATTTTCAAAATATACTTACTCTGCACAATGCAATAAATCGAACGAGTGCATGATTTTACACGTGCTTTGGTTCTACCCACCCTGGCTTGAATCCCTTTCATGGATATCTTAAGGCTACTTGATCCAGACAACGCATCTTGGAAAATACTTCACTGCCCACAAAGTCCACTAAAGATTCTATCAACTGATCCTCAGTAAAACGTAGGCCATGCATACCGCTTTTCATCCTTGCCATCCCACCTATTCTCCCACCAACTTCCAAGATAGGATGGCTGTTCAACCTTGAAACATCCCTTTGAGGGCAATCTGTCAAACGCATGCATTGTCCTTTGAAACTCAACTCTCCAAGCCCCGACTGCACACTGGGCCATACGTCTCACCAAGTCTCAGTCTTGCAGGATCATTATGTTGGTTGTGACAACTTCATCTCTTGATTTTCCATATCCTGCTGCTCTGCTGACAGCTGTGGTTGGTCTGCACCGAGTGGTCGTTTCTCTCCAGAACTACTCTGTAACTGTTCCTCAACAACCACAACCTCCCGCTGAAGGTTGTGCTGTGCCTGCTGTTGCTGCTGCTGAGGGCTGTGTGTCGACCCACCCAGGACCTGATGGCACATTGGACAAGTCTCCTGTAGATACAACCATTTGCGTAAACAGCCTGCATGAAAGTAGTGTCCACATGGTGTCAACACTGCACTCTCCATGTCCTGCACACAAGGAGACACAGACCAGTGCACAATGTGTAAGGCAAACAAAAACCAAATGACTTAATATTCAAACCAGTTATGCCAGGATATTAATATAACCTTTAAAAAGGCAATGTGAATGAACAATTGTAAAAACCTCCAAAATATTGTAAAATTATGCTTATTTACCCAGGATGAATGATCATTTAGTCCCAAGAGGGGGTCCAAAGGCAATTTTTTGTTATGTTTCCCATTTAAATTTAATATGTCGAGGTATAAACGTCTATGCTGCTTTTGAGCAAACATGATTCGAGTGAAAATGTTTCCACTTTCATTATTTATGGCTGTATACATGTGGGTGGGCTTACATAAAGTGATGTTTATATAATGCATATAATCTATATACCACACTTGTTTGTAACGCCAAAGAGATTTGGCCGGGAGATGGGGGGGTATGCGAGGTGGAGGGATTGATTGTGCAGAGGTGGCGGAGAGGGGCTGATGACCGAGAAACATGGGTTTCGAGTATTGGCTGCGATGTCCACATGATAAACCACTTCACTGAGCTATAATTTATGGCCATGTTGCTTCTGAAAGAGCTATATAGCTCAGTGGGCCTTACCCGGTAAAATAAACGAAATAATTTAGTTTAATAGTTTTACCTGAGACACTGGACTTTTGGGGAGGGGTATACCGACGTTACGCCAGTTTTGGGTGAGGTTATGAGAGGGTATGATGACGTCTTGAGACCCGGGGCGGTGAGGTTTCAGAGAGGTGTGATGACGTTTATAGACGCTGGCGACGTGAGGAAAGGGGTGATTGTCAAGTGGAGAGGGTTGATGACGTCACACAATATTGGGGTAATGTGAGAAGGGGTTGATGACGTCACGTGCCATAGAAGGTAGTGAGGAGAGGGGACATGATTTAAATTTTGACCTAAAACTTTCGTGACTGCAGGAATTCATCTTCTTAGTTCTTCCGGTAAAGTCACGTAGATAGAAAACCCCAAAAAATACAAATAAGAAATTTAAAATAAAAGCAAAAAACCACAATAACAATTTAAATAAAAATAGTAAAATTAAATAAAAAATAAATTTTAAATAAAAGAAAAAACCCACGACGTTTCGATTGCAACACAAGCGGTGTTCATCAGGCGGAGAGAAAAGAGGGGGCAAGCCTCCAAATGTAACTGCTTATAAGGGTTCCAAAGTGAGTGGGCGGGTGTAACGCGATATTGGCGAGTTGGAGCAGAGGGGGTGATGATGTCACAAGATTCCCGTGAGTTGGTGAGAGGGGGTGACGTCACGAGACAAGGGTGAGGTGGAGGATAGGGAGTGATGATGTCCAGAGATGCAGGAGGGGGAGGGGTAATTATAAAAAATAATCATGTAGAATTATAGAACTTGAATGTATTCCCCATGGGACATGAAACCACCTGCCGCACCTGGTAGCAAATGGAGCAGACGTCTTGAAGTGCACGCAGCTGTGGTTCCGTAGCAATGGGCATGGCGTTTATACGGCTCACGGCTTCACGGCGGCGCAGGAAGCTCCTCCACCCGTGCTGTGCACGCCGCCACACATTGTAGTAGGCGTGCACGGCCAGGATAAAGACCCCCAGCCAGCTCCACTCGCCCAACAATGTTTCAGCCGTACCATAGCCCACTACCCCGACTGCCACCACAAACTCTAATGCACGGCATGATCCATTGGCTATGTAGATTATGTCATCAAGCGCAGCAAGAGGCCGCTCCACCACTTCTTCATAAAGGAAGAGAAGGTAAATGAAGAGAGTGCACGCCACCTGGACAAGAAAAACATAAGTAGCTGAGGGTGGTGGAATACATGTGTAATGGTTCGATAGAGGCGCACACACTCATGTGGAGGCAACACTATTTATTTAACTGCAACACAACTGCAACACACCCTACACATAAGGTGGTGACCACCGTCCTACTCTGGCTAACACTCGGGTACTACTTGGCGTGGTCAAGCCAGGAGGGCTTCTGCTTGGCCACGATGACTGGAGGCTTCTTTCTTCAGAGTCTTCATGAGACGTCTTCATCCCAGGCACCAACAGCCCAGCTCTCTGCGCTGAGCCCGCTTATAAGCCTCTCTGGCGTGGCCGGCCACACCCTGGCTACGCCCCCCTTCTCGAACCCACGAAAAGGCTCCACTCCCCGACCACGTGACCCCCAGGGTCCCCCAGGGTCCCTGGCCCCCTCCTGGATCCGGTCATATGTCCAGCCGGGGTCACTCGGAGTGCCACGGCCTTACACAACCCCCGTGACACCCATCAACAGCCTCCATACCGAACAGGCAGTGACGTCACGCGTCCAGACCCAACATAGCAGTGACGTCATGTGTGTACAGACCCGATACAGTAGTGGCGTCACATCAATTTTAGTCATTACTGCACTGGAGGTATACAAAAAAAATATTCCTACCTGTAGAGAGGTCAGGATGCTGCTGGACACAATGATGAGGAGCCAGAAGTCAAGAGTGAAGAAGCGGCAGATGGAGTAGGTCATGTAGAGGGGGAATAGGAAGAGGAAGAGGCAGAGGCTGATGGCACGAAAGTGCTTCCACACGCTCCTAGATGGGAGGGCACATCATTAAAAATGCTGTCACTTGTGAACAATTCAGAAAACCACGGGGTTCTAGTGAACACTCGTCTGCATCTCTGGGCAGCTGTGTGCTTTTCAAGGGAGATATAAAATGAAGGGCACCTGTTTTTGGATGCCCCAAGTGCAAGCACAATGGGGTCAGCAATCTCCAACATTGACTGCAGAGTGGAGGCCACGACAATAAAGAGGATGATGGTGAGGAGGAAAGCCCTCTGCAGCACCTGCAGCTCCATGAGCCCTGTCTGTACGGCGAGCAGCAGTAGTGTGGCACCCTCCGTCACACCCCTGTGCACAGTAACACATGGGCAGGTAGACTTCTCTTCCAACTACACTGGGGCATCTGTCAAACTTCCAGCTGCACTACTTACACCTTTAAGCCTTGCTCGAGCAAGAACAGATTCAGAACAGGATAAAATAAGGTAGCCACTGTTATGTTTTAATAATGGCTGAGAATCTAAACCAGGTCAACGATGACACACAAAAGTAAATGCATGCAAGAACCAAGTTCTCCTGTTTATCGCTGGTCTGTGAGGGGAAGGTCATGTTTGCAAGTGTCCATACATGATGCACAGCAAGTATTGTAGCCAGCAGCAATAAACTAAAATTGATGGTTCCACATCTGTTAAATACATTCACATGAACCTACATGACAACAAATATGGCTCTTAGGTTATAGGTGGCCCATTGTGTGTGAACATCTGAAGCAAAGCAAGACAGTCATGTTGACTTTGAATGTGAAAGTGCCTTGTCTCACCTATGCATGACATTGTCATTGGCAAAGGCTTGGTATCCTTGCAGGTAGAACTTTCCAAGTGTGAGCACACCAAGTGCCAGGTAGGACACAGTGAAGGTGAGGCCCAGAAGAGAGTAGGGTGACCCACAGCACTCTGCCAAACTAGGGGAAGAGATGGAACAGTCAATGAACAAATATCGTAATATCTAACAATGCACACTCGGGCATGAACTGGTAGGACATGGTACACGAGTGGAATGACAGACAACAGGTCCATAGCTGGCCACTTAAAGGCACTCACAGAGGTGCCCTGACCTGGTCAAGAGCAGCAGCAGCAGTCGTTCGCGCACTACGGCCTGCCCACGTGTGGTCACGTATGAGTAGATGTGCAGCGAGAAGAGCACCAGCCAGAACACCATAAACAGCATGGGCACCACCAGCGAATGCCAAAGACTCATGCCCAGCGCCAGCCAGCCATACATCTCTGTGACCTAATGCAAATGCCAGCAGATGTGCACACACACACACATAGACACACACGCAAACTTGGGCTCACATAAAAAATATTTCGGCCATTTACATGTGATAATGTATGACAAATTTACATGTAGTGTTCTGTGTGCAAGTGCGTCACGTGGAGTGTGCGCTCGTGCCTCCCACCTGTACGGCCTCACGATAGGCAGACTTGGCAAGGTCGTAGGGGACACCCAGGTTTGAGACTAAGTAGCACAACACCTCCAGCCCCGTAAAGGCCATGGCAAAACAGTTAACCACTGGTAGAGTTGGGAGCGGCACCGAGCACAGCCTTGCCAGCAGTGGTAGCAGCGGTGCCGAGAATAGCCACAACCGTCTGGACTGCATTAGCAGCAAGCACATCGTGCACACCACCAGCTGACCTGTACCACAAACACACACCACCACTCTTCACTTCACTAAGAACAATCACCGGCGCTAACACATGCAAGGAGAAAATTATACATGGGCACTCACACAGGCAGCACGTGTGCACCTGAATAATGACTTCGGGGTGATTTTATTATTTCGTAGAGAAATGTCATCACGCCTTCACCACCGTACCTCGCCTCACTGAAGCTCACGGTAGAGCCCTACGCAGCGTCACTCAGAATCTGCTTAGGACACCAAAGGTCTCGAACTGTTACAGCCTCACGTCGGTTTTCTGCTGTCGCCCCCTCAGTGTGGAACTCTATCCCTTTGCACATCCACAACATCAAATGCACTCTAACTTTCAAAAAACATCTAAAGGTCTGTCTGGGTCAGGATTTCGAGAAGCCCTGAGCTTGGCTCCCTGCCTCTGAGTTGTTGACTTGTCTGGAAAATCTGTCCCGTTATGTCATTATTATTACTATTGGGACTCGAGACACAATCCAGGTGTTACATTACCAGCCAAGCAGAAGAAGAAGCGTGTGCGTGCATCCGGCTGGGTCAGTACTGGACCTTCATAACCAGCTTCCAGCTCTGCCTCCACGTAAAATCTGGCACAAATATGCACAAATACAGCACAGCTTCTCTTTAGGGAGCTACATGACCTTACTATGTGATACATATTTTTTTTTATAAAATATACACTCATGGAAACCTCACCTCAAAAGAGACTGTGAAAGTCCAATAAACTGTCAACACACAATCAGGTCGTGGAGGAATATAAAGCCTGTGCAACTAATTTTTCTTAAGTTTTCAGTTCATAGTCAATTCGGAAGAAGTTCCAGTGACTGTATCAACACAGTGGACATCTCCATCACTGGCTCTGGGTGACCAACAGAGAGGAACATTGTCGAAGAGAACATCTGAGAAGAGGGACCCCTGCACTTTCATGTGTACAGCTAAGTGCTAACTTAATCGTTAATCACCGTTTTGTAACATGAACCTTATGGCACGACCCCGGGGTCCCTTAAGCCCCCGGCTCTCGCATAAACTGCGTTGCGACGTGATTTTATGTCTATTGAAGGCGAACGATACGGCAATCTATTCCTCTCGACGAGCTCTACACGATGCGCTAATCAAAGTTTCAAGGTTTTGTTTTTTCTGCGCATTCGTTCTCGCTGCGCTTGGACGAAATGACAACAGAATGATCCGCGCCAGGTGGGTCGCGGCGTTTATGTGCGCGGTGGGACGGAGTCGCCAAAATTTATTAATTTATTACGATTTTTACTTCCGTTTATTTGGGGCCCCGGGGTCCCGACATAAGGTTCATCATCTATCCTGTAGACGGGTCACCAATGGCCAGTGCAACGACAGTGCTGCAGTTCCGGGGCTCAACTCTTTCTAGATTTGTTCACGCATAAATAAAAATAATGATGTTTGCAGGTGAGCACGAAATAATTACATTGTCAAAAAAACGGAACACTGCAGAGCACTTAATTTCACGAAATACTGCAGTATCCGCTCCGTGAGTGTCTTAACAGGAAATACCCAACTGATGAAATAGGCTGGCATTGTTTGGAACTTGGGAGTCACGCATTTTCATGTTGGTTTCTGCTTCATTTGAGCTAAAAGTTTACCCCGGTGTGTTGGGGGGAAGCGGTAGTGTAGTGGTTAGCGCGCTGCACTACGAATCCGGCGACCCAAGTTCGATTCCAGCTCACGGTCAACACAAGTGATGATTACCTTAATCGGTCCTGAGCCTCCCCTAGGTCAGCTCCGCCTCAAATGAGTACCTGGTGCGGTGTGTAAACATCGCCACTGGAGAGACAAAGGCGGCCGGGCGTGGTGCTGGTCACCCACCCCCTCGTGTGCCGTGCCGGCCTTCATAGGTGCTAACAGCACTTGCCCCAACAGTCTGTTCAGGCTACACGGGGGATCTTTGTCTTCGGGGAGTCACCACACAGGTGGTGGTTGTTGGTGGTGGGCACGTCACCTGGAGATGTGGTGTCCTGCGTAGAGCAGCCCGGCAGTAAGCACGCACAGGTAGAGGCGGACGAGGCGCTGCAGCGGCAGCCCGAGCATCACGATGCACAAGATGTGGCCTGGAAAGGCGAGCGGGGGGGTTACGCCGCGTATCTCACCGTCACGCCCAGCCGCCTTGGCGCGCATCAATGCACAACACACAAAACAAAGACCCCCCGTGTAGCCTGTAACAGACTGTAGGGGCAAGTGGTGTTAGCGAGCACCTGTGAAGGCCGGCACGGCACACGAGGGGGTGGGTGGCCAGCACCACGCCCGGCCGCCTTTGTCTCCCCAGTGGCGATGCTTACTACACACCGCCCCCGGTACTCATTTGAGGCCGAGTCGAAAGAGGCCTAGGACCGATTGAGATCATCGTCACTGATGTTGGCCGTGAGGGGGAATTTAATTTGGGTGGCTGACGGCTCAATGCACTGAGCACAGCAGCCACCCTCACGGCTATCCCCTCCCCGCCTACACAAACTACAGCCACCCTCATCACCCATGCAGCGCCTTGTTATATCTCCGGATGAAAAGACGCTTTAGAAGTGTACATTGTTATAAAATTATTATTGTTCTTTTAGCTCGTAAGACAAGCCACGGCATGAGGACTTAACGCCCCTGAATCCAGGGGCCAGGAGGTCCGTTAGGAACCCTTCAGGTCCCCCCGTAGGTATCCACTTGGTCCCCAGGTCCGCCTGAGGTGCCCACCGCCCCTCAACACACCCAGGTAGTAGAGGTTGCAGATCACGGACTGGTACTTGGCGAGCAAGAGCGGCGCGTCGGGAAGGCCCAACTCGTCCAGAGAGACGTGGCCGTCCCAGCGGTAGAGCCGCTCCAGGGCCAGAATGCTGGGCACTCGCAGGGCCACACTCCACGCCGGAGCCAGGCCGCCGAGGGCCTCCACCGCACGTTCCCAGCGCCGAGCCATCGTCGGGCCTCGACTCTTGGTCGCTATTTATTGGACGCTGCCGACAGCGACGCCTTCATCCTCACGCCGCTGTCGCACAGTGCAGGCCTCGCAGCGGCGCCTTTTCTCCTGCGGAGGCTGCGGGGGACGACAGGTGGACGGAGCCGCGGCCTCCTGCTCCCGCTGCTCCTCGCTAGCGAGCGGCCACTGCGAGGAGGAGCGGCCCGCGGATTGCCTGACCCCTGACACCCGCTCCCGGAACCGATCGCGGGAGGCCGAGGCCGCACAAACGAGCCGCTCGCTACTGCTGCCTGCCGGCACTCCCCGCTGCCTCCCCTCCCCACTGCCCCCCCTCCCCACTGCCTCCCCCCCTCCCCATTGCCCCCCCCCCCCACTGCCTCCCCCCCTCCCCACTGCCTCCCTCCCTCCCCACTGCCCCCCCTCCCCACTGCCCACCCTCCCCACTGCCCCCCCCTCCCCACTGCCTCCCCCCCCTCCCCACTGCCTCCCCCCCCTCCCCACTGCCTCCCCCCCTCCCCACTGCCCCCCCTCCCCACTGCCTCCCCCTCCCCGCCTCCCCCCCCTCCCCCGCTGCCCCCCGCTGCCCCCCCCCTCCCCGCTGCCCCCCCCCTCCCCGCTGCCCCCCCCTCCCCGCTGCCTCCCTCCCTCCCCACTGCCTCCCTCCCTCCCTCCCCACCACTCCCCGTGTGTCCCCCGCCGCCGCTGCTGCTGCTGCTCCAACTTCACTTTCACTTCCTCCCTTGCTTCTTGCTCCCGTCCCTCCACCCTCCGAGGGGCCACTGCACGTCAAGGGACCATGGGGACTGCTGCTGCCCCTGCTGCCCCTGCGTGCGATGCGTCCCGGCCGCTGGGGAGGGATGCGTAGAGCGAGAGGGCAGCTCCTTTGCCAGCTGTGGACAGCCTCGCTACAGGGACCAAAAGGTCACCGCTTTGCTGCACTTATATACGCCGTAGAAACTTCTCACAGAAAACACTCTTTTCTATTGTTATTTAAATGAAAACAAGGCTGGTTTCCGTGGAGCAATAACAGCAGAAGCTGACTTTGACATCCAGAGGTCACCGATTGCTCCTGTAGCTGCAGTCATTGCAGAGTCGGAGCAAGTTTCCTACGCCCCCCCCTCCACTCTCCACCCAGAATCAGTAACACAACAGTGTAAATGTGTGCACAGTCGAGCGGCATTTTGCGTGTGGTGGGATAAAGTGTGGTGAGTACGTCTAACTCCTCCAACGCGTCTGGTCAGTGTGGAGAAGTAGACCAAGTACCCGCTCGGGCCCTCTCTGACGGACCAAAATTGGCGTGAGCCAGCAATTGCAGGGCTGCATCTTGACACGTTTATTTGTCCGAAATGGCCTGATGCCTGCTACCGTGCGGTTTAAACTTTCGCTCGTGCCAATCGGTGGAATCTTTATTAAAATTCCCCGAGGATCGATTAACGGGTGCGAATTTCAGAAGTCAGTAACCATTACTGGTGTATTGGTTATCGCTTAACCTCAGTTATTTATAGCACATGTTTGCATCTCGTGAAGAGTTGCGCTGTGGTGTCTGGAGGAGTCGTGCTGTGGTGTCTGTAGGAGTCACGCTGTGGTGTCTGGAGGAGTCACGCTGTGGTGTCTGGAGGAGTCACGATGTGGTGTCTGGAGGAGTCACGCTGTGGTGTCTGGAGGAGTCACGCTGTGGTGTCTGGAGGAGTCACGCTGTGGTGTCTGGAGGAGTCACGCTGTGGTGTCTGGAGGAGTCACGCTGTGGTGTCTGGAGGAGTCACGCTGTGGTGTCTGGAGGAGTCACGCTGTGGTGTCTGGAGGAGTCACGCTGTGGTGTCTGGAGGAGTCACGCTGTGGTGTCTGGAGGAGTCACGCTGTGGTGTCTGGAGGAGTCACGCTGTGGTGTCTGGAGGAGTCACGCTGTGGTGTCTGGAGGAGTCACGCTGTGGTGTCTGTAGGAGTCACGCTGTGGTGTCTGGAGGAGTCACGCTGTGGTGTCTGGAGGAGTCACGCTGTGGTGTCTGGAGGAGTCACGCTGTGGTGTCTGCAGGAGTCACGCTGTGGTGTCTGGAGGAGTCACGCTGTGGTGTCTGGAGGAGTCACGCTGTGGTGTCTGGAGGAGTCACGCTGTGGTGTCTGGAGGAGTCACGCTGTGGTGTCTGGAGGAGTCACGCTGTGGTGTCTGGAGGAGTCACGCTGTGGTGTCTGGAGGAGTCACGCTTTGGTATCTGGAGGAGTCACGCTGTGGTGTCTGGAGGAGTCACGCTGTGGTGTCTGGAGGAGTCACGCTGTGGTGTCTGGAGGAGTCACGCTGTGGTGTCTGGAGGAGTCACGGTGTGGTGTCTGGAGGAGTCACGCTGTGGTGTCTGGAGGAGTCACGTTGTGGTGTCTGTAGGAGTCACGCTGTGGTATCTGGAGGAGTCACGCTGTGGTATCTGGAGGAGTCACGGTGTGGTGTCTGCAGGAGTCACGCTGTGGTGTCTGGAGGAGTCACGCTGTGGTGTCTGGAGGAGTCACGTTGTGGTGTCTGTAGGAGTCACGCTGTGGTGTCTGCAGGAGCCACGCTGTGGTGTCTGGAGGAGTCGTGCTGCGGTGTCTGGAGGAGTCACGGTGTGGTATCTGGAGGAGTCACGCTGTGGTGTCTGCAGGAGTCACGCTGTGGTGTCTGTAGGAGTCGCGCTGTGGTGTCTGGAGGAGTCACGCTGTGGTGTCTGGAGGAGTCACGCTGTGGTGTCTGGAGGAGTCACGCTGTGGTGTCTGGAGGAGTCACGCTGTGGTGTCTGGAGGAGTCACGCTGTGGTGTCTGTAGGAGTCACGCTGTGGTGTCTGCAGGAGTCACGCTGTGGTGTCTGGAGGAGTCACGCTGTGGTGTCTGGAGGAGTCACGCTGTGGTGTCTGGAGGAGTCACGCTGTGGTGTCTGGAGGAGTCGTGCTGTGGTGTCTGTAGGAGTCACGGTGTGGTATCTGGAGGAGTCACTCTGTGGTGTCTGCAGGAGTCACGCTGCGGTGTCTGGAGGAGTCACGGTGTGGTATCTAGAGGAGTCACACTGTGGTGTCTGTAGGAGTCACGCTGTGGTGTCTGGAGGAGTCACGCTGTGGCGTCTGTAGGAGTCATGCTGTCGTGTCTGGAGGAGTCACGCTGTGGTGTCTGGAGGAGTCACGTTGTGGTGTCTGTAGGAGTCACGCTGTGGTGTCTGGAGGAGTCACGCTGTGGTGTCTGGAGGAGTCACGCTGTGGTGTCTGTAGGAGTCACGCTGTGGTGTCTGTAGAAGTCACGCTGTGGTGTCTGGAGGAGTCACGGTGTGGTATCTGGAGGAGTCACGCTGTGGTGTCTGGAGGAGTCACGGTGTGGTATCTGGAGGAGTCACGCTGTGGTGTCTGCAGGAGTCACGGTGTGGTGTCTGGAGGAGTCACGCTGTGGTGTCTGTAGGAGTCACGGTGTGGTGTCTGGAGGAGTCACGCTGTGGTGTCTGGTATCTGGAGGAGTCACGCTGCGGTGTCTGGAGGAGTCACGGTGTGGTATCTGGAGGAGTCACGCTGTGGTGTCTGGAGGAGTCACGCTGTGGTATCTGGAGGAGTCACGCTGTGGTGTCTGTAGGAGTCACGCTGTGGTGTCTGGAGGAGTTGCGCTGTGGTGTCTGGAGGAGTCATGCTGTGGTGTCTGGAGGAGTCATGCTGTGGTATCTGGAGGAGTCACGCTGTGGTGTCTGGAGGAGTCACGGTGTGGTGTCTGCAGGAGTCACGCTGTGGTGTCTGGAGGAGTCACGCTGTGGTGTCTGGAGGAGTCACGTTGTGGTGTCTGTAGGAGTCACGCTGTGGTGTCTGCAGGAGCCACGCTGTGGTGTCTGGAGGAGTCGTGCTGCGGTGTCTGGAGGAGTCACGGTGTGGTATCTGGAGGAGTCATGCTGTGGTGTCTGCAGGAGTCACGCTGTGGTGTCTGTAGGAGTCACGCTGTGGTGTCTGGAGGAGTCACGCTGTGGTGTCTGGAGGAGTCACGCTGTGGTGTCTGGAGGAGTCACGCTGTGGTGTCTGGAGGAGTCACGCTGTGGTGTCTGTAGGAGTCACGCTGTGGTGTCTGCAGGAGTCACGCTGTGGTGTCTGGAGGAGTCACGCTGTGGTGTCTGGAGGAGTCACGCTGTGGTGTCTGGAGGAGTCACGCTGTGGTGTCTGGAGGAGTCACGCTGTGGTGTCTGGAGGAGTCGTGCTGTGGTGTCTGTAGGAGTCACGGTGTGGTATCTGGAGGAGTCACGCTGTGGTGTCTGCAGGAGTCACGCTGCGGTGTCTGGAGGAGTCACGGTGTGGTATCTGGAGGAGTCACACTGTGGTGTCTGTAGGAGTCACGCTGTGGTGTCTGGAGGAGTCACGCTGTGGCGTCTGTAGGAGTCATGCTGTCGTGTCTGGAGGAGTCACGCTGTGGTGTCTGGAGGAGTCACGTTGTGGTGTCTGTAGGAGTCACGCTGTGGTGTCTGGAGGAGTCACGCTGTGGTGTCTGGAGGAGTCACGCTGTGGTGTCTGTAGGAGTCACGCTGTGGTGTCTGTAGAAGTCACGCTGTGGTGTCTGGAGGAGTCACGCTGTGGTGTCTGTAGGAGTCACGGTGTGGTATCTGGAGGAGTCACGCTGTGGTGTCTGGAGGAGTCACGGTGTGGTGTCTGGAGGAGTCACGCTGTGGTGTCTGCAGGAGTCACGCTGTGGTGTCTGCAGGAGTCACGGTGTGGTGTCTGGAGGAGTCACGCTGTGGTGTCTGCAGGAGTCACGCTGTGTTGTCTGGAGGAGTCACGCTGTGGTGTCTGTAGGAGTCACGGTGTGGTGTCTGGAGGAGTCACGCTGTGGTGTCTGGAGGAGTCACGGTGTGGTGTCTGGAGGAGTCACGCTGTGGTGTCTGGTATCTGGAGGAGTCACGCTGCGGTGTCTGGAGGAGTCACGGTGTGGTATCTGGAGGAGTCACGCTGTGGTGTCTGGAGGAGTCACGCTGTGGTATCTGGAGGAGTCACGCTGTGGTGTCTGTAGGAGTCGCGCTGTGGTGTCTGGAGGAGTTGCGCTGTGGTGTCTGGAGGAGTCATGCTGTGGTGTCTGGAGGAGTCACGCTGTGGTATCTGGAGGAGTCACGCTGTGGTGTCTGGAGGAGTCACGGTGTGGTATCTGGAGGAGTCACGGTGTGGTGTCTGGAGGAGTCACGCTGTGGTGTCTGCAGGAGTCACGCTGTGGTGTCTGTAGGAGTCACGCTGTGGTGTCTGTAGGAGTCACGGTGTGGTGTCTGGAGGAGTCACGCTGTGGTGTCTGGAGGAGTCACGCTGTGGTGTCTGAAGGAGTCACGCTGTGGTGTCTGCAGGAGTCACGCTGTGGTGTCTGGAGGACACCACAGCGCGTTTGCTGTGCTCTGGTATTGCGTGTTTTCATTCATTATTTCTGTTTAAAAATATATATCGACAAATATTCTTATTGATATTAATTGTGGAAAAAGGGCCATATACAACAGATCCCAGGACACCCCACAGCCCCCTCCCCCCTGGAAGAGCGTCGGGGGATCCCAGGACACCCCACAGGCCATTTATACTCCTACATCACCCCCCCCCCCCTTCGTAGCACCCAGCCGACCCGGCTGTAATCAATACAACAATAAACCGGAGGATGAACCAAGACAAGCATATGTGTGCCTCATTGAGCGAACGCGAGTAACAAAAATAAAACCACGCTAACCCTTATAAATACTCTTTGGTTTGTTTATTTTTCTTATCTTTTTTCGGTAAAGTCACATAGGTAATAAAATAAATGAAAACAACTAAATTAAATCACGACGTTTCGGAGGCAACACAAGCTTCCGTCTTCAGATGAAACAGTCACAGCAAAATAGCTGTATCAAGTGAAGAGCTCTAAGACACCCGAGATTATATACAGGTTAAGTGGGGGGGAGGAGCCAGGAAGGGACGTGTTTGGGGGGGAGGGCTAAGTTAAGCCGCCTTTTGTTATGTTGCAGGGAGTTCGGGGGAAGCGATGGCGCGCGGTGCTCGAAAGCGAGTACAACCCACTGGAAGAAATGGAAATGGCTGTATAATTATAAGGCAGCTAAAGTTTCACTTGGTGGATGACATCTTTCCAATGGTTACTCAATTTAAAACAATCCTCTCGGTTCAAGTTGTGTCTATGTTTGTATATCTGGATGGCTTCATGGACAAATCTTTGGTAATAACCGGGAGGTTTGCAGAGTACTTTGGTATCGGAGAAAACAATGTCATGAGAACCCGCTGTGTTGAAGCAATGATCAGTTACGGCCGAAGAATTTGTTCTGCCCTGTTTCAAATCTGATTTGTGCTCGCGAATTCGGTCAGAAATATGTCGTTTCATCTCCCCGATATAGCAGTCACCGCAGGTACAACTCAATTTGTGAACACCGGGGTACTGTAAGTCAGGAATTGCATCCTTTACGGATGGGATCAGATCACGGATGTTGTGTACTGTATTGAACTGGACCTGGATCTTGTGTTTGTTTAGAATTTTGGAAATCTTTTTGGTAACGCCTGCTATGTATGGCAACGTGATGATTTTGATCGAAGTATCAGGTGGTTGTTTCTGTATGGTGGGAGAAACAGCTTGGCGGATAGTACGGTCAGAGTATCTGTTCATCTTAAGGGCCAGATGTACATGTTTTAATTCACTGGCAAGGTGGTGTTGGTCAGAAATGCAATGAGCCCTATGGTATAGTGTTTTGATGAGATAATTATTTTGACCCAGGTGGTGGTGGGAATCAGGCTTCAAGTAGGAATTTGTGTGGGTGGACTTCCTGTAAACAGAATGTCCCAAAGAGCCATCAGTCCTCCCAAACAGAATATCCAAGAATGGCAGCTTGCCATCTTTCTCCACTTCCATGGTGAATTTGATGGATGGGTGTCTGGAATTGATGTGGTCTAGGAAATGGTTCAATGCTGGGAGGCCATGTGGCCAAATGACGAAAGTGTCATCCACATATCTCTTCCACAGGGAAGGACGAAGGGTGGATGTCTGGATGACGTCTGATTCAAATTTCTCCATGAAAACATTGGTAATCACTGGTGACCAGGGGAACCCATAGGGGTACCCTCATTTGTTTGTAGAAGGTACCATTCCAGGTATAGTAAGTGTTGGTGAGGCAGTGCCTAACCAGCGCAGGTACATCAGGGTTCAGTCCATGTTGGGCCAAGTCTTCAATCATTGCATTGTACAAGGGAATACAAGAACATATATACATGAAGACCGCCTCACACCCCACCCGCCTCTCCAGAACAACAGAGCAACAACAAGCGACCGACGGTTGTCAACACAGCGAGGAACATCCGGAAACATTTGTCAACCGACGCAAGGTGAGTGGGTGGCGTGGGGGGCAAGGTTCATGGTGGTTCAAGAAAATCTCCGGGACTTAGAACGAGTCCCAAAGGCCGACCCATCCGGAGCAGAAGGGGCCTGTGGAGGCAGGACGCATGGGATGGCCGGTGACCTGCCGACCCCCGAATCCACCTTCATAGGCAGCTGGGATGACTTAACTCCCATGGCTCCTGGGACCGGCGCGGAGTCGAAGGTGAGCAAGGCGCCGGAGGTTGCCCGTGGTTGCAGCGTCGAGGAGCCCGGCAGCCCGATGCCACGTGTCCCCGCAAGCCGCAGTTGTAGCACGTGATAGTTGCACCGTCCTGGCGCGGGGCCGGTCGGTCGTGTTGTCGGCGATCCCGCAGGGGCCGACGATCGGCCGATTTCCGGCCCTCCCCCGCCGAGGCAGAGAAGGCTTGGTCGTGGATCCCGTCGTCGTCGCGATCCAGGCCCACCGATGAAGTGGTGCAGGCAGCGACGGTCGGCACCCCCTGCAGTCGCAGGTGTGCCTGAACTCCTTGCAGCTCGCAAGGAGTTAAAGTCGTCATCGTCAGCCGCTGACATGACGATTCTAAGGTCCCAAGCCAGGCTCAGAAGCTTTTGGAGGACTAGCGAGTCGATCGCTTCTTGGTCCATGCGGGGGTAGGCGGCTTTAGCCAGCACCAGCGGGGCAGTTCGGTATGCCAGCGGAGACTCGGCCTCCCCCCTCCTCCGGGTATCAAAGCGGTGGGGGGAGTTGGAGGGCAGACCATAAATCGCCTGCATCTGGCGAAGGGCGTCCTGCAGGGTGGAGCGATTCGCCGGAGGCACCGTGATGAGGGAGGCGAGGGCGTCATCGTCCAGCGTAGCCGGGAGGGTGCGGAGCGCCTTATCCTCCGACCAGTCCGCCATCTCCATGTGGGAGAGGAACCGGCGCTGGAAGGCCGCCCAGTCGCCTCCCGCCACCGAAAACGCCATCAACGCCGGCCCGGCGTTGCTGGATGTTGGCGGCGCGACCCTCGGCCAGCGATGAAGAGGCGGCTGTTGCGGGTCCAGAAGCTCCCACGCCCGCCAAGATGTCGCTCACTAGGAGCGGTCGCAGCCTTGATGACGCGGCGCCACCTGGTTGGATGCCTTTGGCCCCGGAAGTCACGTGGCCCCCAGTGGCCACCACGCGCCCAGCGGAAGTTCCTCCCGCCATGGCGGGAATTCCAAAATTAATGGCGGAAACCGCGGTTGCGGCATCGGATGGATGCTGTCCCGTCTCCCCCAATGCCGCAGCCGATTCTGCCTGGTGGATGCTGCCCAGGATGGCGGCTGCGGTTTGGAGCAGCTCCGCGAGGCGGAGATGTGCCTCCTGCAGCAGGCTTCATGATGTCAGGGAAGCGGTGGGTGGCGAGGTGGGCGGCTGCTCGGCCGGCGGCGCGATGCCGTCCACGAGCGGAGTCGCCACCCCCGCCCCTGCGCGATCGCCGCCGTCCCTGTCCGGGCTGCGGGTACATGCTGTCCGACATGTCTCCATTTTTCACTCCTGACACCAGTTGTAGTGTTGTGGATTCGGGAGACGTCGGAGACGGTTCTTGGAGGCAACACTATTTAATAACACCACGCTCGGCAGTACAGTCACAGAACACTAAGGACAACGGTCCTCCTACACTACTGTCTGAGGAGGTACTGCCTCCGGGCTAACATGCCCTAACACAGGACTATACTCAGGGTCCTCTGGCTATGGGTGCCTAGGGGGAGGCTATTCTAACTCGCCCTAGCCAAGGTGCGAGTTCCGACCACTGACCCACTGGACCCGGCCTTTACAAGGACGTCGGGCCAGGATTTCCCAGGGTCTCACCACTGAGCCGCAAGAGTCCTGGCCCTGACAAGAGCAGCGGAGCTAGGGGTCTCAGGGTCCTATCTAGCTGGTTTCTGCTTCTGTCTTCAACTGGTTCCAAGCCTGTAGAGAGGTCCGCCTTTTATACACTTTCCAACTGAGGGGCGGGGTCCCGGGGGATCCTAGGACACCCCGCAGCCCATTTACGCCCCTACACGTGTACAAATGGGTCGCGCTACTTACCTGCAGTTGCGAACGAGGTCCACCAGGGGCAATACCTCGGACCGGCATAGGGGCCGCTGGATTCCCCAGCTCCGAGACAAAGGGGGGCTGTGGGGTGTGCTGGGATCCCCCGGGACTCCCCTAGGAACTCTCTGGAAGGAATGTGTGGCCGGGGGTAGGCACGCCTCCAGAGCTGTATAAAAGCCGGACCTCTGGACGGCTCGGGAGCCAGTGGAAGTCTGAAGACCAGCTAGCCAGTTGAAGACTGAAGCCCAGCTAGCTAGGACCCTGGGACTCACCTGACTCGCCGTCCTTATAAGGGCCGGGTCTGAGTGGGCCAGTGGTCGGGACCTGTACCTTGGCTGGGTCAGGTCAGAACAGCCTCCTCTAGGTCACCCCTAGCCGGAGGACCCAGAGACCGTAGCCCCAGTAGTAGGGCACGTCAGTCCGGAGGCGGTACCTTCTTAAGCAGCGAGTGAAGGGGCCGTAACCCTTTCAAGTGTTAAGGGTTCGCTACGTGCTGTATCGTAGCCATTGTTAATAAACGTGTTGCCTCAAACCGTTCGTCTCCACTCTCGTAAAAACCCACACTACATATGAAAGAGTGCCATGGTGTATGGAGAAGTTGTGCCGTGGTGTAAAGAGGAGTCGTGCTGTGGTGTATGGAGGAGTCGTGCTGTGCCTGGACCAGGCTCGTGTGTTTGCCGGGGAGTGGTGAGGGAGTCACTGTGTACATGCCGGGCCTGCTGCAGCTGACACCCACAACCCCAGGGCCCCACGCGAGCCAGACCCGAGCTTTGCTCCGACTGCATGACGCCGAAGGAGGAGCCCGGGGCACACGTGTCGCTCCACTACTCCTGGACGACGCTTGGGGTTAAACAATCCTCCAGAAAACTTAGACATGCCTTACCTCCCACACCCAACGAAGCCCAGTCGGGGACAGCCATGGAACCAAGGTGTCCCTTTGATGGTGACGACACCAAACGAAAAGGGGGTTGGCCCAAGGGAAAGAAACGTAAACCGCCCAGGGACGACACAACTCTGCACGCTCCCACAACAGGGTACGCTCTCGAGCAGCCCTGCAACAACTACGGGGTATAAGAAGGTACTGCACCAAATTAGAGCAGGTCTTGCAACAGTTTTGAAGGGTCATGCGAGATGGAATGATAAACAAATGCGTGCGAGCGCGGTGCTTGTGTCGTAGGCTACTCGCTAACGATGCACTGCCGCGTGTGTGCGGGAATTTCGGTGACAGGTACACGCTGTTCCTATACGCCCAACGCAAGCATTTGAAGGCTCAGAATCCTGCCCTCCCCTTCACGGAAATTATGCGAATTGTGGGCAC